TATAAGAAGTGGTCGGGGTTTGCGCTAATGAAGTAAGCGTATCGTTGCCAATCATTCGTGGCAGTAAATTGGTTTAAACTAGCTCTTGTATAAGATATTGAATATTTGAAGGTCGTCTCTCCATGAGGCAATTATAGGAACGTTTTCAAATGTTCCCGGAAAGTTAACGCTAGTTCACTACAGAAAATTAGAGTTCTCAGGTGGTCGCCAATCACAGTGTAACTTGCAGTATGTTAACACTGACTTGAATAAGTTGAACACGTGCAATTTTTCGAGAATTTAGAATTATTTTAAGCATAGTTTTTACGAAAATCATGCAAGTGTGAGTACACTCTGTAAGGAAAACTTGAGCATCTTACCGATGAATCACCATCACTTCCCTCGAGGCGATCCTCGAAAAATTGCACGTCAAAGAGCGAATACTCAGATTTGTGCTCACTTTCTCATTGCGAGTCGTCAAAACTTGGAATGCTCTCCAAGCCAAGGTGACTACATGCGCCTCAGTAGACAGTTTTAAGAAGAGACTTGATAATCACGTACTCACATACGGATTATCATCCTTTTGGACCAAATTCATCTACATATTACTCAGTTCTGAAATTTCACTCATACTGGCATTAGAATTTTATCCTTATTATCCTTATTACTCTCATTGCAACTAACTGATCTCCGGTCTGGTAATGTGAAAGCTGCTGGTATCCAGAAGCCCTACTGCCCTGAAACAAGCGTTTTTACTCGAATCCCGAGACATACAAGCTCACAACCAACTCCCGACTGACTGGAATTCGACATTCGAGCGGCTAGACCTCCATCCATTAGACATTACCGAACACCTGGAACCGTACCGAAAGGACAAGAAGTGAGCGAGAAGACATCAATCGGTTTACACTAGCTCGTGAAAAAGATATTGGATATATGGAACTTATTGTACTGAAATATAATGCAATCGTTTTCGGTCAAGTTGATTTTCGTGACACACTAAGTGGATCTTTTTTCTATGAAACATTACTTAGTTATTAATGATTTTAAATTTGTTATCTTCAAGTATACGAGATGGTCTAATAAATATATAATAAAATATATAATATAGGATAGAATCTACGTTTCATTACTGATATTACTATGATTGATTTTGATCACTGCCAAATATATATAGAAAGTTTGTGGTTTGTAAAGATTTTTTCTTGCATTCTATTCTAACTAAATTTAACAAAACGATACCTTTAACCTATATTGTGTACTATGTAGTAAACCCACGCATAAAAATTACTTAGTTTTTGTAATAGATCGTGTTTAAAAACACACGACACCTAAATTATATTGAAAGGACGTCATGGATCACTAATTATCTACGATAGAATATCATGAAACGTTTATTAAATTACGTTAAAATTCAAAAATTATCAACGTTTTCATTTTAACGTGGTGTGTATCGGTTTTTACTATAATGTGATGAAAATCACGTATAAATGTATCTCTCACATTTATATCTTGACGGTCTTCTAGCTGACAAGGCTAAAGAGATAGGGACTAGTGTCATTAAAGCTACTGAACATTTATGAGGACAACTACTGTCATCAAAATGATTTCGAGAAGCACGTGCATATTCTTAAGAATAGAATTAATTGAGAGATATTTTTAAAAGCTTAAGCTCAATGGATACAAGATACATAATATGATTCACACTACTTAATTTCAAAAGTGTACAGAATAGATCACCTGAATATTTCAAATCGCAAACAATAGTACTGCTAAAGTAACAATAAAAAGATAGGATAGTACAAGAGTTAATTGTTAGAGCCACATAAATATCAAAAGGTAATACCCCGAAAACGTGGTTATGATATATTTCAGAATGCGAATGTGACGATCTCAGAGATCGATGGCTCAAATCCGGATAGCTTTTCTCATGACTCAGTAATTTACTGTTCATTATTCTAGGCGTAATGGTGTGCAGAAGTAGTTGAAAGATAGTTTAGGTGTATCGGTAACACTATTTGTCACTTGTATCGTTATTTTAATGTCAATTATTCATCCGACTATCATATGCTTGTATCATGTGCTTTTAAATACAGATATGGTGGCAAAATGCCATTATTTTGAGACAAATAGTTACCTACATGTAAGGCTGTCGGACTTTATTGATACTTATGCAGACAACAACATATTTCTTTCGTTTAAAGAAGGATTTTTAAACTGCACACAGTTCATACGCAGCTCCAGGTGAAATATATTTTTCATCAAGAGTGTTTATGAAATCTTTAATGCATTCTGAATTGCTCAAGATATGTTGCTACTGACTATTACCTGTGCTTCTGTTTAATAAATTTTGATTTTCCAAATAAAAATGAAATGGGTAAACACAATAACATTACTTGCAACAATAAAATTTATCTATCTTGATAAATATAACAGTTTTATTTCATTACTAGTTACAAGCTTTGCTTTGAACCTAGAAGCATGAAAATGAATGTGTATTAATTGTACTGTGTTCATAAGTAACAATACTCAAGATCTTATTTATCTTTAGAAATAGTAAATTTTTAACTTTTCAAAGTCAAAAACTGTACAACCCTCGCCTAACAATTTCTTGATCGGAATTTCATCTGAGACAGTGTCAAACAAAAAGTGTAAATATTTGCTACCGAGTAGTAAATAATAACACAACAATATTATGTTATTATTCGCATCGTGTAGATCGAAAATGCACAAGATTAAGTAAAAAACATATTGTGTGTTTTTAACTTTTCTGTAATTGTAGCAACAATTATGAGCCAATCTTTGGATAACAGTACTCTGAACTATGAACCTCAGTATTTCGGATGTTTCCTTTGGTGCCTTAAACTGGTAAATTAATAGTGCCTTTACAAAGCGATCTCATTCAAAAATTCACTATTCAGCTATTCAAGCTCCTACACAGTTAAATTTGGGAAGACTTGAATCATTGGAAAGTTGATGTCGCACTATTTAGAAGTATTCTCCACCATCTCAAGAAGTATTCAAAAACACGTGTACAGTGTTTGAAGTTCAACCGTATGGTTATTTAGTATTCATAGCATATTCCTATCAAAAGAAGAATCACAAGAAACCCTAGTGTTCCTGGATAGCCTATAAGTTTTATCCTTGTGGCTTTTCGATTGTCAGTTCTACCAAGTCTATCAGTGGCAGAATCGTCGATTTTAGGCAGTCACAGAAAAACGATGTCTTTCTGAAAACCTGAACTGTGTTAGGTGCCCCTTGATTTTTTGAGGCCAGACCGCTTAGTGCAAAAGAATGCTTACTGTTTTTAACTAACAGTTAATTTGTTTTAACTGAAAAAGAATCTAACGGCTGTTGATTGATTCGCCCTTTATTGTCACCCTTCAATTTCAAATAAATCCTTTTAGAAAAGGTTTTATGCAAGCTTTTTTAATAGTGATTGGGCCGAATCATCTTGATAAAAAGATTAAAAGACTGGTTTAAAAATCACGCACTAGGAATGATAGTGTGGAAATATATCTTTTTTAGGTTTTCGGTTATCAAGCTTTTTAAAAACACAGTTTATATTTTACCATTTTGTCTATATGAATCGTGTATTCAAAAAGATAACTCGAGGAACCAGTGTTTTAATAATCTTTGATTAGATGATAAACATGTAAATCGTGCAAAAATTAATTATGGAGGCGGTCTTGATTATTATTTTGTTGAATGAATAGTATTTTTCATTGTAAAAGTGATTGCGATCCACAGTGAAAAGCTTAAAAATGAATCGAGATCATACTATTAAGGTACTTGTCTGGTTGATAAACCGTAAAGATTCACAGTTTAAATTATTTATTACTAAAATCTCAATACAGTGTATGTAACCTTGATTCACTTGGACTAGCTGTTACATCATACGTTGATCAAGAAAGTTCAGTAACATATCAATATCCATTGAATAATCAACTCTAATTTATTGTAATTTCCCTCCATTTAAATTATCGTCATTCTATGTACTTTGACACTTCTTTCCATCTGTTTGTTGGAAAGTTCAAGGTGAATTAACTTCGTTATTTTCAAGAATGTATCTCTCTCATATCACACCTAATTAAATTCGCTGCCAGTAGATATTCGCAAAATGCATGTGGAGTAACCAGGATCATGCTGATCAACTCCTCAATAAAGAACGAATTCTATTAGTCATGTGATAAAAGACTGAACGAACTGGTCCCTCCATACCATCCACTGTCTTATTCAGAGACGGTAATATTGACCTAGTAAGAGGTTGACTGACATTCTGCGGGACAGAGATGCAAACACCTGTCTATCAAGGTTACGAATTAGACGTATGACACTGATTTCTTATCCGTAGTCAACAAGTTTAGATGTCACAGTTCCTCTAGTCGGTTACGGCGTCAATAACGAAGTGATAACTGCTCTGAATATGACGCTTTATGAAATGACTTTTAATCGTTCACAAGGTACCAGTTCCATCAAAATTGGAAATAAGCCGTTCTGAACAGCTCCGATCAGCAAAAGAATGAATCATAACCTGTAGTTGTGATTTCATGATATTTGGAGAAAAAAATTTGCCAGCAATGATATATTTTTCCATGAAACTTTAAGAGATGTAATGTCAAACAAAAAATGGTACTTCAAAATGAATGGATTGTGCAATATGAGTATTTATTGCTAGCCACAATCCATCTATTTAGTATAACCTGGAATAAGATCACTACATCGAGGCGATCCCCACAGAATTTACTGGTGCCTACAACAACTAATCAAAATGCAATCGTAAATAAATTCAAACCCTAACTAATAATAATAATAATACTAGCTGATCTTTTCCTGATATGTAAAGACTCGCTGTTCTGCTAGCTTAATGTATAAATATATGATCTATAATAGTGACTGAACTTCCGTAGTTCCTATTCGGTATTTTAATTTATTTGATCAAGATAGATTTAAAACTGCTTGCAAAGCTTCGCTTGCTGAAGAACAAACTATTAAATTGCTACAATAGAGTAACGCTGAGACCTCAATGAAATAAATTTATTAAGCTCTCAGTAACAGGACTGAAAATAAAAAATATTGAAAACTGTAGTCCGGATTTTGACTACGTGTGATTTTTTAAACAGTCAGTAAGATCAGTCTAAAGCTAAATTGTAAATAAAAACCCTCTTGATAGAAGCATCCGTCATACAGTATTCTATTGACTGAATTGTAGTTGCTTTTTTTCTTGTTAGCGTTTTTGTGCTTGATCTTCGGACGATGAATAGACTATTTGACTTGCCATCCCATAAAGAGATTCGTTAGTCTAAATAATTTTTGAAATGCAAATGAAAGTGAAGCAAACATATATATTTAATGTTTTGAAAATGAAACACCATATAATTCCATCGAATCAAGAAAAATTTGTTTTGGTTTATGTTAATGCTCAAATTTGTGGTGAACTGAAGTGACCAGTTCAAGATCACTTCACTAATGAACTGAATCGTTTTTGACAGAAATAATGTTACCTTTAAAGAATATATATAAATATATATATATATATATATATATATATATATATATATATGTATAAGTATGAGTCATCAGTTGAAGAATAACCTACCTCGGCTGCTAAGAAACTCCTTGTTCTTGGAGTTGGATTTCTCACCATACCAAGAGGTAAATGCAAACAAGCATCTGGATCATATTCCCTTAGCCGATTTGATTGGGTTTCACCAGCATCTTTATTATCTTGATGATCTGAATTTTCCTCTTCTTTCACAGCTGGTAGATTACTGTCCAGTATTTTCTTCAAAGAAACATTAAAATATTGTAAACATTGCTATTCTACGAATTATTATTCTAGCATTGTAGGTAAACTAAGGTTAACTACTACAGAACTGTTATATGTTTTCTGGTAACTCGAATTATTCAAAATATTTATCTATGTTATCTTAACTTGCTACAATTGCTGAAAAACTACCACTTCCTAACTATTACAACAATAAAGATTGGTTTAGTTTCATGTTCAGTTATATATTCATCAACTACCGTTTCGAGAAAACACATCAAAAATGCAATCACATATATGGTTTACTTAAATGATCAGTAGTCAAATTTGAATTGACAGTAGTTAGACGGTATTTTGATACATGTATAATATTTGCAGTATTACTCATTATGATTACGTGCTTTAACTAACAAATATGACTAAATTGATGAGTAATATTTTAATATCTAGCGGACACGTTTACCATACACTACACATTTAACTACTCACTCTTCTGTGTTAAAACAAAAAAGCACGAAGAGTTACGTTCAGGTTTGTAAAAATACATCATATCGACGATGATGAAAGGTGATAATGTTTCTCGTCAATCATAATTTCTGAATAATAAAAATATGAAGTGGTCTCATATTTTAATGATCCACTTTTTGTGATCCATTTGACTAAACAACATTGGAAATAGCTCTACTGAAAACTAAAAGATTATAGAGTGTTTTTCAGAGTTTGGGTAGGTTTAGGTAATGAAGTGAAATACCAATATGATCATTCATTTACGAATTACAGTAAGAGTAACCATAATCAGCAGGCTCAACTGAACTTTGAAAACTTTGTTCACTATTACTTCGCTAATATTCAACCAAACTCTAACTTCTTCAATTCAGCGGAAAATCACTTTAGATCATTGGATTTTCCGACATATGTTCCTTCCCAATATCGTTGAGTAATGATAGTTTGTCACTATAAATATTCAGCGATTCAGAAATTTTCATCTGCTGAACTTTAAACATGAGGACATTCACGTTGTTTTATGTGTTCAATAGAATGGAACAACATTTAGAATGACCGACTTTGTGAACTGTACATTCTAGCTCCTGAGAAACAGGTTTGTACAATGATTATGAGTAATGATAAAGTCAACTGCACATAAAGACGTGTTTCATAAGTTGGTCTTCGTAGAAATACGGTGAGTGAAACCATTACAAGCGTTTTTGGTCATCACGGAAACAGAACAGGAAAAATAGAATCATGGAGAAAAGATTATATATATATATATATATATATATATATATATATATATATATATATATATATATATATATAGTATTTCAGTGAATTCTTTGGGTTTCCCCGGCACATTTGTTTAAAAATAACGTGCAGCTGAACTTAGCTCCTAACAGGTGAATGACAGATATCTTTAAGACGGGTTGGATTTTTTGCGTGTTTGTAGTTTTTATTTTACATTAAAATAGACCGCTAACTTTAAAACACTTTTCAATATACTTGATTAAACAATGAAAAGGTATTTATAGTACTTTACGAAACTTTTTCATTTTATTTACTTGAAATTAATCTTCTGTACTTTTAGGTAACTATGGTATCCATTCATCTTATTCAATAATCAGATAGTTGAGTTAATGCTAATAAACTATGAGAATGGAAACAATTGACGAATAAGTGCAAACGTCGTCACATGACTATTTCTCATATGGCGTATAATTGGGTAAAATAAAGGTTTTGTTATTCTTTTTAAATACTGAAATCATGTGTCACGAGGAAAATCAATTTTAAAAGCATTCCTAGTCAAAAATACTTATACAGAGTAGACGCGTTAAAATTAGAAGTAACATACGTTTAATCAGCTGTTACTTTCAATTCATTCACTTAACTTATTTGCGCATAAACAAAGAGACATAGATCTATCGTGAGATTTCAACCATTTATTTGTTAGGACACTATTAATTACAGCGTTTCAATGAAACAATCACGAGAACTGGCAGGAAATTCCAATTTTTTGTAATATCTACCATAACTGTACTCAATATCTCATACATGATCATCAGTTTTTCATTTATAAACTGTAAAATATTTTTACGCTATTAAGTTTAAAAGAAACTGTAATCTTAGGATAATACCGTTAAAGATCCCATGTGATGCAGAATAAATAAACCATATTGATGTTGAAATGAGGTGTACTAAATATTAACACCATTTGTCTACTAATTTTTGTTCACGTAGGAACTATATCCGGCTGTCTCAAAAGGCATATCAGTGACTTTTTGAACTGTTAATGTTATAATCACACTTTAGGCGCTTTCTTCATTGAATCACTTCGAAACCAGTTCATGGTATGTTTTCATCGACACTGCTTGAACTTTAAAATGACTTTTCGTTTCTGCAACAACTCGATATCGTAAATGAACAGAATACGCCGAAGTCTAGGAAAGCAATGAATGAATATTTATTATTCTTAAACAGTCTTTTTATATTCAGTGAGATATTTAGATTAGAAAAGTGACTGGAGCTTACTTTACATTTGTCAGAATCAGACGGCAGATTCATCCGCGGTTTATGTTTATTTATCAAATGTATGGATGTCTTTATAGATTTTCTGGTTGACTTCTTAGTCTGGCTTTTAGGTGGTCGCTTTAAGCGCAAATATAGCTGCTTTAGATCAGCTTCTGCTTCCAGATTACGTATACGTCTACGTTCAATTTGAGCTAAATTCTTGATTCGGTCATCTTCATATTTCTAGAAGATAAAATATTTTTGGTGACACTAAGACTGGTAGCAATAGATTTTAAAAAAAGGGATTCCAGATTAAGTATCATAAGGAATATATTCACAAAGTGTTATGAGCCTTTATCTTGTTTACTCACAGAAAACATGAGATCAATCCATTGTAGCAGTAAGAAAATGTCAGAAATTAAAAAATTTAGATTCTATTGATCACTTTCAAACTATTTATTCTTATGGTCTCGATCTTACCACACTAATATGGTGGATGTGGACATTACTTTTGAGTTGTTAAAATTCTTATGATTGTATAAAGCAGGCTGAGTAGATCATAAAGTTGGTAGTAACTGATTTCATAAAATATGGGCAGTCATCAAACTGAACTAATCAGAAAACACCTATTTGTGTTCAACTTTTCGATATCTTTCGCTCACTAGGGTTTACTATTGTCAGGATTTCTGATATTTTCAATGACCAACTATCAACTTATCAAAATTTATTTGAAGATTATTAGATTTCATAAGTTTAAAATTATTTTACTATATCCCTAAAATAATTAATTATTAATATAAAAACCTCTTCATTTTAAACAATAAAGTTGGTGAGGGAGATGACCAGTACGAAATTACTGAACTGTTAAAGTCAATAAATAAAACTTGAATATTGTTGTTTTTGATTGGTGTTACTACGACAACGCTAAAGAATTTCGAAAGTTAGATATCTTGTAGTGCCTACAGATTTATTGATTTATCATAATTCATAACCTTTTGCGGCTGTTGTACTGCCTGCTGGAGGATGACGTCAAATTTTCCTACCTTATTACAAACTGGCCTATCGCCTTCAATAACATGTGTTTATTGAGTTAGAGAAGAACATATTAACAATGTAAATTAGAAATAGTCACGGAGACCAGTTAGGTTGAGCGGTCATTTTGAAAATTTTTGTGCAAATACAGAAGCTTTATAGATATAATTTATACAAATGATCTGGGTAACTGGTCTTATTTGAAGCCCTCAGTGGGTGTATGAGATGTAACTTTTGAAGGTATTATAGCTACTGCGAGAAATAAAGTGACTACTATTACCCTTGAAATTATTATTAAAGTCTACTTAGTGTCCAGCTACTCCAATCAACTCATTAGTGACACAAATGTATACAGAAAACCACCACTGCTATACCATGAATATCGTGTCGTAAAAGTAATTTTCACTTTTAATTATTAATTTGAATTATTTCTGAGACTGGATTTGTTGAAGCATTCCTATAGCATGTCTTATTTATCTAAGCATATTACATGTGAAATGGATTTTCAGTCTTAAGATAAAGACAAGATCGGAATGGTTTGTTATGGAGATTAACTGTTTTGTTTAAGTTAAGCAAGTTATACTTGAGGTCATTATCAAGAGTCACGTTATCCGCTTTAATGAGAAACAGATCATTTTTTATTAGGAAGATTTTATTTGTTAAAATTATTATGTATTAATTAAACTACCTACTAGCTTAAATTATCACACTATACTGTTTTCATCGTGAAAAATGTAAGTCATAAACTTAGAAGAAATCTGGTTTTGTATAACAATCGGTTTTTAGATTTTGCATAAAACTAATTTATATTTTGAATTAAAGCGAAAATTAAGTCTTTTTCACATGAACATTAAAAAAAATCGATGCAGAGAACAAATGATTGGTAGATACCTAACAAAGTTGACAACTAACACAGCCCTCAATTCAGAAGCTTAATTGAGTTACCTTATACAGATTAGTCTCCAAATAACACATGATACTACAAAAATTACTTTTAGTGCCTAGAAATGTGGTTATCATTAGAACAAGTGTTAAATACATGTTTACACTAGTTGATGAACTGTAATTTATGTCATTTTGTTACAAGCGCCATTTCACTCAAGAGGCCCTCTTCTGAAAGAATACATACTCCCTTTGTTATGACGTGTTTCCACATCACTTGATCACGATATCTAGTGCGTCAAAAAGTAGTCGCGGTTTTGAACTAACGAAAATAATTCAGGAACTGTGCAAAAAATATATTTATTTTTCATCAATAAAACTGGTATGATGTATTGAAACCATAGAAGATGGCTTCATGTTCTGGCCCCGTATATTTAAAGTCATCATTCAAGATGTATGGTGAATAGAATTGAAACATGTTGAAGTCCCTAGAATAAAGGTAAGGATTTTGTTGAATTTATTTTTTGCAAAACAAGAATGTTGATGATTTACTGAGAATTCTTTTTATTCTATGCGGTTATAGCTGAGCTGTAATGTGATCAGTAACCTATAATATGACGTCCATCACAAAAAACAACGTACCTTGACCTGACTTAACACATAGTAAATCAGTATTACTGAGTAATGATGAAAATACTAAATATAGTGACTAAAAAATATCCAAATCTTTGGTTGAAAAAATAGGTTTAAAAAAGTATAAAATAAACCTGTTGTCCTAGTCGAGAGAAACATCGGGAGATTAGTGTGCAAAATATGTTACTAATGAGATGGTTATGACAATTTATGATTCTTTTGTATATTAGTCTACACTCACCTCATAATGTTTCACTAACACATCCACTACTTCATCTATGGCTCCATGTTTTAAAGCATTTGGTGGTGTAGTCCGTGTATACTGAATGAACTCACGTTTAGTTAATCCAAGATGCTTCATGCTATATTTGGAGGGATTAATACATTCACTAATAATGATAATAATAATAATATAATTTTTCTAAGTTACTGATAAGATACCCTTTATATATCACAAAAATCACTAACTTCCTGATCCTGGTTGGTTAGGAAATTTCTAACTTGTGATATAAGAAAGTTTATAAAACTAAATTAAAAATGAAATTATGTGTCACGTGATAATACGGTCATTTGTATTGAAGTATGAAAGCCAAGTGACGAACTGATGACTCAATTATCTTTTATTAAATAACTGATACCTTATTTTAAACAATGCATACTTTTTGGCTAGATATGGTTTTGTATACTGGGGTCCATATGCTTATGATATTTAACATTAAGCTTTAAATTGAGTACCTGCATTAGATGACGTATAAGCAACCAATCTTAAATATTTGAAATCATGAACCGATCATTGTTAGACGACCATCAGAAACATGGAAGAACTGGACGGCCGTCTCGTCCTAGTATAGTAATCAGTAGTGAGTATCCACTACTCTGGCTAGCAGGTATCGAACCCAGAACCTTGAGTCTCACGCGCAGACGCCTAACCTCCAGACCGCTGATCCAGCATCCAACGGTGTTCATGTCTAACTCTAATCAGTTTAAGGTATTGAACAACCGCCATTGTCTTGGGTAATTAACTGCCTGTACCTGACAGGGTTGAACTTTACTGCTCACAGCTTCTCACTAGAACCACGAGAATTTCCCCATGAAGCTAGTCTCTAGTGAACACATTCCAATAAAACTCACAAATCTTCACAAAGAGTAATCTTAAATCCTTAAAAATCAAACAAAAATGGGTTTTTTTTTTAATTTTACCATTCATCATCATAAACGATAATCACAACGTCAGTAGAAGTGAACGCATTTTGTCTAAATTTCTCAATGAAGTCAATAGCTATTTTATCATAAATCTGGGCAATATTGTTGTAACATATGTGACTTCTCTCTAGGTTTAAATTAAAATTTTGATAGGTAATCAACTTTCAACAGAACAGAAAACAGGTGAAGAGATCTCAGTGAAGTGTTAATTTTCTGAAATTAATTCATCTGATGTCATAAATGTCTTTTGTTTGTTGGTGAAATTGGCAAAAATAACATAACATTCGATTCAATACCTAATTTTGTATACTAAAAGATGCTTAGGTATTTGAGAATATTATAACATAATCTTGCATTGAAAAAGAAAAGAATAGGTCTTTTACTTTAGAAAATCCTTATGTTGCCATTTAATAGTTTTATATTTAAGTTTAAAGCAACTACTTCCAATGGATTAACCTAATTACATGTCTTCTCGTTCACTTAGAAAGTTTATTTATATGTCTAAATGGAAATATCTATAAAATAAGAGTATTTATGCATTGTACATTGACTCTTTTTCGTTTATCTTTTTTTTCCTTAGTACCACCGACGGAATCATCATTAATATATTGAACACTAAACTCTTTCTAACGTTTCTGCAACCAATGTTTATGAATGAATAATTTTTTTTAATGACTAACTGATTGATAATTCTGATCAGTATGAATACCTTTTTTAAAATGCTGGTTTATATGGACAAAATGATGGGAATCATGATCTTCGCCTTAAATAGTCAATTAATCCACTGGATTTAAATTGTCTCATATATATGTATTAGTGATCATTATATTTGTCATTTTTACAAAAGCTCATTTTACCGACAGTGAAACATCTAACTGACAATTAACAGAGACAAAATAACCTTCTTAACATCAGCTGAAGCGTCCTATTGATTGTTTCCAACCATGTAAAATCAGAAGAATTTCCTGCTTATTAATTCAAGCTACCGGTAAAGTGAGACTTTTTAGTGCAACAAACTATCTATATAAAAATGTTAAATATACATTCACTAATATCTCTAACCTCAACATAAATTGCTCGAACTTTTAATGTGCAACTGTAAATAATAGAAAATTAACCATCATCATAGGTGTAACTGTTAATACACCGATAGCATTATTTTGCTAGACATGCTTAGTCACAAGATGATTGAATCTGATGACGTGAAGCATTGATCTTATACAACGAGAACAAAGAAAAGGTTTTATGTGAAAACATGAGACCTGTAGTATATCTTAGATTTAATTTCATGTTGGTGTTAGACAGCTAATCTAGTTACAGTGACACGTTGGTATTTGATTTTCAATGGTTCTTTTTAGATGTCAGTACGTGATGAGATACATCTAATTGGAATTCACCCCCACAAACTAGTCATTTAATTTCAGAAAATAACTTGGATTTCATAAATTTAGTTTGACATTCGTTAAGACAAGTTAGTGTTTACATTTATGACTCAAACATTTTATTTTATTTTTATTTTTTTCAACAATTAAATTATTCAAATTTTTTTGTCTATAATTTATTTAGAATTTATTCTGTAAACAAAATTGAAATTCCATGTTAATTGAATTAGATTTTCGAATAAATCTTTGTATATGATACATAATTACATCTGTTTTATTTATTTATGTGCAGCATATTTAAATTTTCATTCATTCACACAATCTTATTAAAAATTCACACTCAATTATAGTTAGCAAACATATGTATATATATAGATATATATATATAAATATATATCACGATCTCTAATTGTATGTCAGACAGTGAATTTTTCACTCATACATACTTCAGGTGTTTTAATTATATCTCTATTACTTTTTTAATTGTGATGTCTACTGATAATTAGTCAGAGAATATATATTTATGAAACAGGAATATTCATGCTCATTAAAAAAGTAGACTAATGATGTTTAGCGTTAGTTATATTAACGATGATCTAATTAATATTACTTGTTTGAATATCACTTGTTAACTCTGTGGTAAGTGATTTAGTTGTTTTGATTTTTTTGTCAATGTCATATGTGTAACATTCAAGTAATTTGGTTAATAAACTGTAGTAACCTTATAGTGAATTAAATGGCATTGTACTGGTGTGTTGTTGGATTTTTCAAGGAGGGCACAATCAAGCTTGAAATGATTACTCTAGCACACATATCTTCCATTGTTAGATCTCTGGTAAATTTTCAATATGTTTGGAAGAAATCATAAATTGTATTTATTTGTCATTCTATTTTAATCAATCAATGTAATCAGCTATCGCACAAATCATAATTTCATAACACTTCTGGCATATTTATCGATAGACAATAATTACTAAACATGGCAAAACTAATATTTTAAAAATATCTTAATGTTAAATAGCGTTAAACCTATTTGGTAGTTTCGAAGTGTTTTGATCAACTGGTAAATACTTATTTTTATACAAAGTAGGTGGATATCATTGAAGACTATTTACTAAATCATCCAAAGCTATACAATTGCTTATCTGGCTTTTGATTGTTGTATACAACATTTTAAATAATAAGATTGTCGACACCAATATATGTTGATGTTAATTACAACGAAAATCTAGTTTATGCTGATGACTGTGGCTTTGATATGAATAATAGTTCACTCATTGTTTTAAAAAATGTAGTTATATTACAAAAGTGAAACTTTTCAAATTAAATTTAGACTCTATATTTACCAGTCTAACATCACTTAAGTTTTTACCAGGAAATTTTGCAGAGATTGTATGAACTACTGCAACATAAATGAAAACGGTAGGCTTTATAAAAATCGAACTTACATTTGAATCAATAACGGTTAAATTATTCTACATCATGAAAGCTAATTCGTCAAAGCTTGTTATCTTGCTGTCTTTTGTAAATTAAATGTTCATATAGTGTAGATTTGATTTTTATGACATTGATTAACTTGTTGTGAAATTTCACCTTAAATTATAGACAACATTTAACTGATTACATTTACAATAATTTGTGTAACGTGAACACATGATACATTTCTTATTTCATTGAAAAGTTTCACATGACAAAAAATAACAATAGAACCATTCATGTAACATTTAGCTAATAGTTTAATAAAACTGACCAATAAATTTAGTAAACATCTTTTAGCTTTAGACAACATATGTCTCATGATGTGTTGCGTAGTATAAATGGATTCTCCAAATCTATCACTATGAACTTCACATAACACAATTCTTTTGATGTATGATCATTATCTACGCATATATCATTGTTAACTGACCAAAATTTTCATGAGCTGAAATTTGTTGTGTAAGAATTTTTACGAAATGTAAGCGTTCAAGAAATATGATAAGAGAAATAAGCTTACTGTTACACATGGTTTCATGTAAGTGTTAACAGTGGTCTTTTGAAGTTAAATTAACAACAAACATATAACTAACTCATAACCATTATCTCAAATCTAAACGTCTCACTATTCATGTATTTTATTGAAGGTGTACTTCATGAACTAACAGTTCGGATATTCTCATTCGCATTAACAAGTTTAAATGGTTCTCAGTGTTTTTAACCCACAATTCAGTATGTTGTAACTAAATATTTTTTTTACTAAACGAATTTGTCAAACGATTACTATTTATCTGGTTATTTAGAAATTCCTTTAATTTTCTAATACTGTCAGACAGACAGATAACTTGTATTCAGATGATTATGACAATTTATGAATGAATTGTATAATTAGCCTGTACTTTTTAACTTTTAGCTTATAATCGATTCCATTGGATGGATTGTTAAATTTACTTGGTTAACAGTAAACGAACATTCGGATCAATTATTTTCTGATTCATCCTATCATACGAAATGGAGCTTTTGGGAATATTTAGATATTTACGAATCACAATTTCAGCATTCAAAAATATAGTTTTCTGCATTTTATATGCTGCATTACTATCACTACTTCCTATCATGGTGCCTGGTAAAGTAAGATCTAAATTGATTTATCAGATTATCCCTGTGTGTGTGTGTGTAAACAATATGACGACTGTATTACAATAATTGTATTTTTAGCACAGTGAAAAACTAACGCACAAATACTAGCTCATTTGTAACTGCTCCAGATGTTAAATAACTGAAGCTGCTTTTAATGATTCATATAATTTAAAGAAGATAAGTTTACGAAGTGTTAGCATGAAGTTCATAGTTTTCATTAAGCGATTAACTATAGCTTTCGAAATATTCCACAAGTTCTAAATGCAAACTACTCTCTGTTGAATTTACGAAAAATCAGCGTTTTTGATCGGTTGATTTTGTAATAACTTCATGCGAACGTTTACATAAAACTATTAAATTATATTTATTAGGAGGAATATGGTAATTTATTAGCTTTTTAGATATTGTAGTATTATTTCAAAGACCTACTGATTAAGATAGTCTATGAAGTTCATCATACAAAACATTCCCATTAAAAGGAAGTTTTGTATCTGGGTCCATACACTAGTATGACATAAACATGGTTAATCTCTTTTGAAGAAACGATAAATACAATATTTAAATTACTGTTTTAACTAGATATTTACATACTGGTAAGTAATTTTCATAAAACTACCTTTCATATGCAATTTAAATGAACTTTAACCTTATTGTCTATATTTTTAATTTAAAGCCAGCTAAAGGAGCTTATGTTTTACTTCTTATGACTGGTTTATGGATGACTGAAGTTATACCGATTTACGTTACTGCACTAATCCCGTTGGTGTTTGGACCACTACTTGGATTAGCTCCAGCGTCAACTATTTCTCCATCCTATACAAAAGTAAGTTTTATCTATGTTAAGTGTAGAAAATTTACATTAAATTCAATGGTATTTCCTTCTGTTAACTGGCTTGCAGATAAAAACATAAGGATCCTAGAAGTCTTCTTACAGGCAGAGATTAAATTTAAGACACAATAACTTAAGAGCTTTTGTAACTAGAAATTTGTTATTCATGAAAAGCAAATCTTGTCAAAATATATGAGAAATCTGTATGAGTAATTCTGCTCAGAATGTTTTCACTTCTAGAATTTCATAATGCAGAACAATTAAAATTTCTAAAGACGTTTATTTTTTTCTCCAGTTAGAATTTTATGTATGTCAAATAAAGTTTCCTTAAAATGTTTTTAAAAATTTCTAGGATACAAACATACTATTTTTTGGTGGTTTAATGATGGCATGCGCAATAGAAAATAACTACGTTCACAAGAGAATCGCGATTTCTATTTTAAAACTTGTCGGAAGTGATCTTAAAATGTATGTTGAGCACATTAAATTTATTTGCTTATTTACTTAAAGTCTAAACCAAGTCGTTTAACTAGAGCCTTAATCATGGTTCAAGATTCTGTGTTGTAAATGTTACAAAACGATAAACCTACTCTGTATCAGTCAAATTTGGATAGGCAAGAAATTACTCACACGTACATTTGAATTATGCGTGTTTAAAAATGTGATTTAAATAAACTGAAAACATTGTGAGTCAATTAAACCAAGCGAACATAATCAGTTACTGAACTCAATTAATGAACACATGACTCTCGTCTATATGTTTTTATAAACAATATGTTTATGAAGTTCAAATTTCCTAGTTAGATAATAAAAGTCAATAATGAAAGTTACACGATCGTATGTGTTTCATATTTCCTACATAGTTAATCTGGTTTCAATAATTTTTTGATGTGCAGTTTAGTTGTAGTATTTGGTAGAATCAACTTTACGAGATGAACAATTAATGAAAGAACTTACAACTACTGTCAACATAATTATCAATAATAGATCAGTCTGAACCAACACACAATCAAAATTAAGATGATACATATTTTTGAAACGCTTTTCAGTCATTAATTTCTTAAATAATTGACTGATTACATGTTTGATTAATAAAGATAATCTACTATTTTGTAGGCTTATGCTTGGCTTTATGTTGCCCAGTTGGTTTCTCTCTATGTGGATGAGCAATACTGCTACTACAGCTATGATGATAACAATTGTAGATCCTTTGTTAAATGATTTAATGAAAGTTGGTAATGGGACAAATTTATTAAATCTTTCGTACCATATATATATTGGTTACTATTTCATTTTTACATAATCAGTTCATCTTTTTATTCTTTATTTTGAAGATTAATTTAGTTAATAAAAAATCTTTTAGTGCAGATACCATGAAACAATGGGGATTTATGAACGACCGTGAATAACTTATAGTCAACAAGAATATTTACTGACGAAAGATTTGAAATCGAAATAATTGTTTAGTTAGATATTTACAGAATAAATAGTTTCTACTATATAGAGAAAGGTGTCATTTCTATGAAATAACAATAATTATTTGATAGTCTAAAGTGTTTAATGAAAATTTACTATTGCTGTTCATATGGAACAATCAACCGATTAGTCAAGTCCATTTAATTTTTGAAATATAGAATTCACTATTATTAGTGAAAATACCACTTGCTTAGCTTGGACAGAACTCTGAAAAACACATGACTAGCCATGATGACTTAAAATGAACATTGTAAATGTAATCGTGATCATCCTATTGGTTTACGTTTGATTCCATCAACAGTTTTGAACTTAATATGATTCTGTCTACTTCCCAAAGTTGTGTTTATTAAATGAAGTTTAGGTTATAAGCTTAAACAATGTTACTGATTCGAGTCTTTCTACTTAGTTTGTTTCTGGTATTTATGGAAAATAAGGTATCCTAAAAATTGCACGGTAATACCTATAAATGTAACTGAATTGCACTAAAAGTTAATCAGGTTAGTTTATCGATACAACCCAATTAACTGTTTCTTTAGTTAGAGAGTAGATTAATAAATTTAAGGCTGAATAGGTATCACATATCAATTTAAAATTAGCCCCTGCTTTCAAAGCATGACGATGATTTAGAGAGTGTTTCAATTCAATCTATTTACATTTTTCTCCTTCTGTTAATTTCTACATGGTTATAGGACTCTAGTTATAGTAGATGACATACATGTGTACAGATTTATGTATCAGCAATGCAACAAAGGGTATCTTTCTGCACCTATCTTTGTGATATCACAAGTTCTTATAGTATATTCGCCACATACGTTTTGACACATTTTCAGTTACACATTTGAAATCATGAATCGATCAATGTTAGAACACCATCAGAAATATGGGAGCACTGGACGGCCGTTTCGTCCTGGTATGCGCATCCACGACTCATGCACCTAGAGGGATTGGAACCCAGGACCTTCCGTCTTATGAGCGAACGCCTAACCTCGGGACCACTGAGCCAGTATCAAATGGTGCTAATGTCTAACTTTGGTCTGTTCATGGTTCTGCGCAACCTCACACACTGTCTTCGGTAGTTACTGTCTACACCCGGATAGGTTGAACTTCACTGGTCACGACTTCCCACTAGAACTCGGAGAAGATTCCTCACGAGGCTAGTCACTAGTCAGCTCAGGTAATTGAATTACGGGGTTGTTAAGATTGTAAAGTTAACTACCTGAAGTCCGTTTTTCGGTAAATAAAAGTATTTAACTGGAATCATCTGTGTTGATCATTCGTCTAAATTTGATCACGAAGTTACAACTTAGTCACTTGATAACGAAACCCTACAGACTAACTCAGAAAGAGATAAACCCTTTAGACAAATATGTTAAGAGAACTACAAAGATTCTGAAATAATATCAGTGAACCGAACATTAACATGTTATCTGCTAGTAGTTTTCTTATGGAACACAATGTACCAGAAACTCTCATCATACACTAAAATAAACTACCTAATGGGTTTTGAAATTACACATTGCTTTGACCAGACAAACCTCTTTGATTTCATTCATTAAACTTATCATTTATACTGTTCATATACTTGATCATTTACAGATGAGGAAGATAACAAAGAACGTAAAAACAGGTAAATTATTTTATATTTTTATCTATTTAAGTATAAGGTTTTGCATGAAAAGTAGATAAATCTGAAGGTTAATCCTATTATTAAAAATTTATGTTTAGCTGTACACTCTACGTAATTTTATCTGATTTTAAATTGAACAACCTGTTCATTTTTTGCTTACCAGTATCCTGAACCTGACATGGATTTTTTGCAGATTATTCGTGTTTTTAATTGATTAAATATGATGAAACAAAACATATTATGATTGTATTATCACTCTATAACGTTTGATTACATTAATTAACTACTAGAATAATAATGTATTCATTAGTCAATAGATCAGGTTGGTCTGTCTGAAACTTGATTCTAAAATCAGTTGCATGTGAATAGATAATCGTTATTGTACTTGGCCTAATTGCAAGAATCTCATATTCAACTCATAGCTCCTCTTTATACAGTACCTTCTATTAGATAATCGTCAGATAGTTCCTGGATAAACTTAAAAATAATGTTAAGATTTGAAATATCATTATTACTTTGTCTACTTTTCTATGCTTGAATCGGACGGAAACAATGCTCGTTTGTATTTACCAACTGTTTGGAGGATTTTTTTTTAGCAGACTTCCATTTATGGCCTAGCTGAGAAAATGTGGCTGTGCTCATTGACAGAATTCATTCATTCATTTAAATGCTCAAATCTCTAGGTAGACACTAAGAGTACTGTCTGAAGAATGCTTTTAAACCAAGTAGATTTGTTTCGAATGTTTTTAACATTCTATTTTAGTGAATCCCAAGGTAGATATCAATTAGTTGCATTAAAATGCATTCCTCAGATCTGAAAAATGATAAATATATCCCACTACAGAAGTACTTTGACAAAAAAATTGAAAATTAACACAGTAAAAAAAATATTCTACTCAGAGAATTTTAATTCCCCCTCAGTTTTTTGTTTTTAAATCTTATCCGTGTTTTAAACAAATCTTCAAAATCTTATAAATTACTTAGACTAAACTATCGGTCTAACATGCTAATACGCCAGCCAGAAAAATCACTACATTAGGCTTATTTTCATGGTACACTGACATTAGTTAAGTTTAAAGTATTTCACTTTGGCATAGTTAAGTGAGGTAACTAATTTATCCAGATTATACTTTCTTTATTCAGTAATGAACTAACTATGGATTCAGGTAAACCTGATCAGATAGATGAAGAAGATACTCAGTTAGCGGACGCCAACTTTGTACAATTTCATCATCTTGATCTTACTCCGGAAGTTTCAAATAATCAGCCGAAATTAAGACTGATGAGTGTTGGTTTTAGTCTCAGTATTGCTTATGCATCTTCAGTTGGTGGAGTAGCAACACTGATAGGTACCCCACCCAATTCCATTCTTCAAGGAACAATATTAAAGTAAGTTTTAAGCAATAATGCTTCTAATTTCTCCTCTTTTGTTCTGTCCATAAGTATATTACGATCAGATACAATTTTATGATCTGACGTTTTTATTACTTTTATGCTTCCACAGTTTTTTGAGATCATCACACAGATATGAATTAATTTCTTATTTTAAATATTCTACAGTACAATTTATTTTCCTATTTTATATTTATCAAAGTCACAGACTTATGAACTCCTTCTGTAAATAAAGTTAGCTGTGGATACACTTCATATTACGATAGTTGTCTTTATAATTGCCGAAGAAATCACTTGACTAATTACTTGTGCCTGTTTTTCCCCAATCAACCATAGGCCGCGGACCAGAATTCTCCTACATAATCTGTCCTCGACCTTTTTTCCCAACTCTATCCAACTGTTACTCATTATTCTCATTTCTGTCTCCATTTATTAGCCATTAACTACATGTTAGTTACCACCTTACTTATCAGAGAGCAGTGTAAAGAGGAAATTTAAGACAGCAAACATTGAAATAGAATGTGTATTCATCGGATTATTGGATGATTATTACAAAAGTATCACTAGTCCGTAAATCGCATTTAAGAAATCAAGTTTGTTTTGTCAGATATTAGTTTTGGCAGCTTGTCTAACGTAAACAGATGGTATATTTCCCACCCACTTCTTTATTAACCATTCAACCAAATCAAAGCTAAAAAATGCACATATCTGTTTATGAAACTGAAATACAAAACTTCGCACATTTTCAGGTATATGACTGAAAAATTTATCTTTATGTATCCTATGAGCGACATACGCACAGAGATGAAAATCATGCTTTTTAGAGTAATATTCATAAATGTCAACCAGTTTAAATTGTTTAGACGGCTCATTAGTGCCTTTTTTCACATCCATTAGCCTCATTATTGACTTATCTATACTTCTCATTTTTTTATGTGACTTAGTCGTTACGGTGATTCAACTGGTCTGAATTTCGGTACCTGGATGGCTTACGCACTTCCCCTTTCAGCTTTCATGTTCTTGTTCACCTGGATTTGGCTTATCATTTTGTTTATTGGCCCAAGGTAAGGAATGAAACGATTTTTTTTAATTTGAAGTATATTGCTCACAAATTTCATCACAGTGAGTGAGCTATAAACTGGTCAACAGTTTATCATATTTAGTTATTATCATATTTTATAAAATCTTGAACGAACATCGAATATTTGGTAGACTAGACAGGAAAATATTTAAGCAAAAGCTTTAAACCAATAAACATTGCAAACTTGGAAGCATGGGACAGCCGTTTCGTTCTATTATACAACTTCCGAATGAAGTTCATTCACGATCCTGGTCTCATATGTGAACACCTAACCTTTTGATCGCTGATTCGGTATTTACTGGTGTACAATTCTAACTTCAGTCAACACATACAAGGTTTTCAATGGTTGTGAGACTTGATTAAATGTAGCTTCAATGAAATTCGACAATCTCTATAGCGATAACACTCATATATATTCAAGTTTTGAAAATACTACATTTGAGATGTTTACTCCAGAAATATGTTCTTCCAACTACTTGATAGATAGGTTTCAACTAATCATTTGCATTTTGTTAGAGCAAAAGGTTGATTCAGTTATCTAAAATCGAATGTTTTTCGTTGAAACAAATCATTTAAAGAAGTCAGGTCGTTGAAACCCAGTCTTGTGAGCACCATAAATTTATCTAATTTACCTAGTACTTTAAATTTAGATAAATTAATATTTCTTCATGAGCTTTCAAACTCTTAGAAAATCAGATGTAGGAACCCAACAGATGATTGACTTTTGGCGAATGCAGACGTCTGTTCATTGTCTCAAAGTTTACCAGTTTTCAGGGTTTATAGTTGTTATATGAACAATAGTAATAACAGTTTTTCTTCAGTGACTAGAAACTTCCCTAGTCATGACATAAACAGTTCTCTCTCTTATTAGATAATTAATCCAAAAAGCAAATTTTGAGCATACATAAACTTTCCTTACTCCCCTTATTCAGAATGTTAAAACTCCATGGTATGATTGAGTGCATATTTCTTGAAGTCTAGATTAAACAATAGAGTTTTTCCTCAACATATTTTAAAAACAGAGGTACTTGTTGACAAGACTGATGAATTTATTGGTACAATTAAATTATCAAATCAATTATCCCAAAATACTATTTCAAATTTTTCTTGGTAGCTGTTTTTCGAAATCTACCAATAGTCAATATTCAGTGGTCTTTTTAAATAAATAAAATTAATCAACACTACTTCATTTGTTCGGTTCTTTTTTCTAGAAGTTTGTATAGTTTTAAGCAGTCGAAAAGAAGGAAGGAACATTTAGCTCGTGTATTAGAAGCAGAACAACAGAAACTTGGACCGATCAAGTAAGTTCAATTGATGCATAAAAACACATCATAATGCGGACTTTTATGTCGATTATCTCAAAACTTTCAATTTCAGTAATGAATCGACAGCGGATTAATTTAAGTACAAACAAAAATAAAAAAATGGTAGTTTTAGATAAAAATTAGTGCATGTTTGAAGCCTGGGATGATTCTGAAACTTCAATCTTCGTAAAAAATTCTGATTAATTTTAGGATCAACACTATCTTTTAGTCATTTGAAGAAATTTAAAAGTAGTCATTATAAAATTATTATTGCTTATACAGTTTACGTTTCTTAAAGAGGACACTAGTCATAAGCATTGGTTGTTAGTTCGCATAAAAACGATAAATTACTTGAAAAATCATATATGTATCACATGAACACGTGAAAAACCGAAAAGTGTGAAACGTTTTAAGATATTTTAGTGTGTATTTTACTGAAATTGGAAATGAAACAAGTTAGAATTATAGAAACGTGTACAAATGCACGAGAAGACATCATAATTTCACTCATTGTAGTGAATTGAACTTCATTTTAAGTATATAAAGCTTCAAAATCTCTCATCAACATGTGATAATCACATACACCTAGCAATTTAAAATTACTGTTAAAGAATTTTAAGGTGGTCTACAACTTATCCTATCTTTTGTTCTTTCTATGAACAATATTTTAATTCACTTAAAACCAAATGGTTTGCCTTTTTGTACTAGATATTGTGAAGTACTGTCTGCACTTCTTTTCGTATTGCTTGCAATACTTTGGATGACGCGAAAAATTGGGTCATCAGGATGGGGAAAGTTATTTGCTGACCCTAATGATCCTAAAATATCGTGAGTTACTTTAAATTCTCTATTGAAACAAGCTTTATTACTTAGCATTTCCGAAACAAAGATCTAATAATTAAAAATAAACTATTATTATTAAAACCAACTACTTCAAATACAAGTGTTTATTTTAGTTTAAAGACAAATTTTTTGTAGTACAAAGATAAATTTTTATCTGTCTATAAATTTCCCAAATAAAATATTCTATTTCATTACATGGTAAGTTAAGATACTAAACCACGAGTTCGAAATTTAAACTTTACTATAAGAAGAAAAGTAATACATTTCGAAATGTCGAAAAATTCAACCCCGTCACGTTGATGAGTTTTGAATAGGTTAACTGAGACTTCAACGTGTAAACAAAAAGATAACTATTACAATTAATTAATTGTTGTAAGGATTACAGTCTTGATTAAAAGTCATGGGTGATGGTGCCAAATAATAATATTAGTAGCTTTGACTCGGAAATTAGAGAAGCATTATAGTCTAATCATAATTCTGAAAATAATATAGGTCACTTCAACTAAGTGTCTTTGTCATGAAATTTTTAATTTTATTTCGCTCGCCTGATAATTCATTGCTTCATTATATATATATATATATATATATATATATATATATATATATATATATACCCATGAACAAAGCTATTTTCAACGATCTTGAGTTTTTATTCAGATTAAACATTTAAGCTGTATGTGCAAACATATACGGCAAACTCAGGTATCTTAAGCTCACATCAAATAATTACAGTTAGAAACTTAAACTGTTGACTTGAAAGTACGCCTTAGAGATGTTGACTAGACATCTCTGTAAAAATACCTTGTTTCGAACAAACAGCCTGAAACGAATCAGTATCAAACAGTTGCTTTTCTGCTAATGGTGTTTCACTTAAAATTTTGGTAGAAAATTCAGCCATAGTAAAAAGTAACTCCAGTAAAAGTACTATCTTTTACTATCTTCATTTGGTTTTTGATCCATTATGCGCGAATTCAACATAGGATGAGTTCTATTAAGAAATAATCTACATTAGGGGGTGTAAAAACACAGGAAACAACTGCCATTTTCAGGTAAGCTTACATCATATTTCACTAAAGTCCGTCATGATCATTTCTGCCCCACCGCCTTCCCTTCCTATTGAAGTGCAGATTAGGGTTCAATAAATTAAATTCAACCATATATTAAAATCGTTCCTTCTATCTACTCCGAATGTTGTCAGTATTTATCTTCTGTTTCTGTATACTCTAGAAAGTCAAGATATTAAATGAATCAGCGCAAACAACCTGTGTACTCCTGGTTTTACAGGATAATGCTAATAAAGATACGATGTTGACAACCAACTAATTCCGAAAATAATTAAGATATTCTGCTTCAAGTAGTTATTTGTAATGCTTACTTATTTGTGGCTGTTACCCCTGATGAAACATAGTCCACCGACTAGCATTCTCCAACCAAAATTTCCAAAGTTCACTTTTTGGATTGCTTTCAACTACTATTCATTGTTTACATGCGTTCTCAATTCTCGGTTCAATGCTTTTTCGGTCCACTTCTCTTCTTATGGCGTTGAGGATTGCATTTTAGGGCTGGGGGCTTTCCACAATGTGTCCAATCCACCTCCAGTGGCTCTTTCCAAGCTGAAACCTAGTTTCCTCTCTCTCTCATAGTAGGTTGTTGCTGATGGTGAATTGCCAATGGATTCACTGTATCTTGCTTAAACAGCTGTTAATAAACATCTGTATCTTTTGGATGATGATTTTTAGCAGTTCTTCGTGTTTTCGCTCCATACAATAGAGCTATCTTGACGTCGGTATTGAGAATTCTGACTTCAGTCTTCGTTTAAAGTTGTTTTGAGTTCCCGATGTTCTTCAGTTTTCGAAAAATGCTGTTCTGGCTATTCTAATCCATGTCTTTACGCACTCACCTTGTTTATCAATGTTGCCGCACAGATACGTCAAGATTTCTAGAGCTTCTACGTCAAATGTGATTTAGTTGGTGGATATTGTATTGTAATAAAAGGTATCGCTCCTGCCCTTGTGTATGTTAAAACCTAATACTTAGATATCTGCTGATACACTGGTCACCTTCATCTGCATTTGCTGTTGCGTGTGGGATAGAAGAGCCAGATCATCTACGAAGTCTTGATCATCCAGCTTCATTCGAGCTGCTCAGTGTACTCCATACTTCCTCTAAGATGTTGACGTCCTCATAATTTAGACAAATGCCAGAAGAAAGAAAAAGGGTGAGAGTAGGCAACCTTACCTGACACCGATCTTCACTTGGAACGAGTTGCACCATTTTGCAGTTTAATCCATCTTTGGAATCCCATTTCATGTTGACTGTTTTCTCAGGCACACCACAGAGTCAAAGAATTTATGGCAATATCATACCATCAACGCTGTCAAATGCTTTCTCGTATTCAGTTAAGTTGATGTACAGTGAGGAATTCCGATCAAGTGATTGTTCCGAAACAATCCGTAGTGTCACGATTTGGTCGATAAACAACTGATCCTTAAAAAATCCAGACTGCTGATCTCGAAGTTGGGTGTCTACTGAATTTTTCTTTCGGTTCAACAACACTGTGTGGAAGACTTCCTGATACTGATAGTAGAGTGACGCATCCGTAGTTCTGATACTTACTGAAATCTCTTCTTTTTGGTATCTTGATGAGATGTCCTTTTTTCCAGTCTGTTGACACTTGTTTTTCCTCCCAAACCCTGCTGAACAGACCTCGGATCACATTTGCAGTTTCTGCTCCGTCTGCTTTCACTGTCTCAGCTGGTATATTGTTTTGTCTTGTTGCCTGTTCATGTTTGATTTGTCTGATAGCCATACTGATTTCCTAGATAGTGAGTGGGTTAACATCAGTTGTAATGCTTGTGTGAGCGGGTGAGCCGATTGGTGGGTTCAGTGGGTCTAGTCCGTTCAGAAGTTTTTGAATGTATTTTACCCACCTGCTTCTTTGTTCTTTGATTTCGGTGAGTTCTTCCTCTTCCCTGTTCTTGACTCGTCATACTAGTTTATTACATTTTCCAGCCTCTTCGTTGTGTCGTATAGTTGTTTTATGTTTCCTTCTCTTGGAGCTTTTTTCTACTATCGTAGCTAGATCCTCAACATGTTTGTTTTTACCGTTTCTAATTCCCCGCTTCACTCACTTATTTGCTTTTGTGTATTTGACCTGTGCCTTTTCTTTCCATGCTCTTATCCGGCTGATGTTGATTGCTGCTTTCTACTTCTTCATTTCCTGAATCTTATCCAGTGTCAGCAGTGATTCCTTCCTCGTGATGGTGCTTCTTGTTAGCTGCGACCTCATTATATGCTGAGGTAATTGCTTTTCTGATTGCTTGCAAGTTGTTCTCCCGGAATACAGCAGCGTCTTTCCTGAAACTAGTCTTTCTGTCCACCCTGTGTTCAACGTGTTTCACTTATTTTAAACACTACTTGGCTGCATCTCTGCATTTTCACAGCAAGTTGGATGACTCTCCAAGTCTTTCACAATGTACGAACATTCTGTGTACCTATATTATTGATTTCTCTAGTTGTCAGAAGGGATATCGGCTTTGTGATTTCCGGAGACACTTGGCTGTTATTACCATGTGGCGTCATAAACTCCTCTAAATGAAGATATTCCAACCCCCAGAGAATAGTTTAAATAGTTTAAATTATTTGTCCTGGCTATCATTTTTTAGCAAGTTAATGTTCTACAGGATGGGGGGGGGCTAACCTCATGCTCAATCCTACTCCTTTGTCAGGATCAGGACTGGCAGTAACTCTGGAGAGGCTTTGGGCAGAGTTTCATTTGAACTAAAATAGTGCTAAAACTGCGATAACTTAATAGAAAGGTTTACATGTGTATAAAAAAGGATCATAGTATAATTTCACGATCGTCTGGATCTAAACTATTGATCACAGTTATAAATGCGATGAGTTGCATTCCACAAATTATGGTTACAGAAATTGGTGAAACTTCAAACCATTATTTATACTTTCATTAGAGAATCTATGAACTTGGGAAACTTCTATGAGTACATGACTTACATTGATGATTATTTCGTGATTTGTTTATGCGCTAATCTCTGCCCAGAAAATCATATTTTATAACTAGACTCATTCAGCATAATACAAAGTCCGTACGACAGTTGACTTCTACATCAAGGTAAAGTAGAATTTTATGATTTGCTATGAAATAAGTGTAATTAATAAGGCTTAAATCTGACATATAAATTCAGTAGATAATAACAAATTCACGATTTTGACCGGTTCGTTATTTTTTTTTTACAAGAAAATACATAACAGACAGCACTCCAGCTATCCTAATGGCTATCATGGCAATGATTTTACCAGCATCGAATCCAGTTAAACTATGGAAGCATTGGAAATATTGTTACAAAACAAAAACTGGTTAGTGCTTACCTTATTGAATTTACATTTTTTAAATTACATTAGTCAGTGAAAATATAGTTAGAAGAATCAGACTACACTGAAATCTGTTATTGAAGTGTTAAAATAGTCAAGGTTATAGTTATGTATGACTAAGTACATTTTTATTATCTCTTGACGGATACAAAAAAACCATTGAAATACCTGCATGCTAAGATTCATGAACGAAGTTTAGGTAAGACAGATAGACAGATACAACGCAGAACTTCTTACGTAAATACATCAGTTCAGGTTGCCATGCCCCATCAGCACAGTGACGCAACTGTCAGTTCAAATCCAAGAGTGATAGCAATAGTAGAAGTATTAGCAGTAATCGAGAAGATTAGGGAGCGAAGATATGTTATGATTCGAGAAGTATAATTCAGTAAGATAAATTTAGAAGGAGGAAGATAGCGATTATCATGAATTCAGAAGGTTAGAATTAAAAAGCACACAAAGAGTGGATGTACCTGTGCCATTTCAGACGATTCTGAGCCATGTCGTTCAAGGTCTCTAACCATCGGTGACTATCGTCTCGCGGATCCCAACCAAGTAGTCTACATTTACCAACATGACTCAGTCCACTTGTCAGTGACTTCATGGATTTCTGCCATGTTTTAGTTAAGCTTGGTGTCAGGAGTGGGTAATGTTTATTGAAGTTGCAGAGATTAAAATATTATTTTATTATTGTACAGAGAAGATCGTTCATTCTGAGTAGCCATAGTCAACAAATACCTCACTACGATTTCATTTGTACCCTAAAAATTTCACTCACTAAGCTTTACAAAATATCTTTCCGTTGACTTCATTTCACGGCAGTATTGAGTTTGAGGACAGTAACTTGATATAGATATGCAATAATCTAACGAAATACTAATAATTCTAATATATTTAGGACTTCGATAAGACAAACAGAAACTCATATTTCAAATACGCAGTATGAAGTTGTATTGCATTATTAGATTTAAACACATAAAATATTTAATTGTACAATTCATGCATATATTATTCACTGCACTTAGATTATTACTAAATATTGACAGGAATTGAAACTGTTACATAGGTGCTTTCTGTTGGGAATTTCCAATAAAATATTCCTAGCAATAAATGGAATAATAGTCCAATCTTTCCATTTGTAAGTTACAAAGATATAACGATAGAAGATAAACAAATTTTACCCTAATTTTATGTTCCAGAGCCAGACCCAGAAATAACCCGGGTTCTTCTACCTTGGAAAGTAGCATTGGAGAAATTCCCTTGGGGAGTAATTTTGGTGGTTGGAGGGGGATTCGCACTGGCAACTGTAGTAGAGGTTAGTTAGAGTGATAAACAGATACATTTTATTGATATTATTTAGTCCACACATAGCTGTTTCTTAGACTTCATTTTTTTCCTATGGTTCTGAATGAAATAGATCATTTCAAATTAAAAAAGAATTGAACTGAACGTTTACTGGTGTCTAAGTCAAAAACCGATGATTTTTTGTAAACCACTTTCAAATCGCTCGATACATTATCATAATATTTACTATGTCATAAATACATCATTCTTTTTTCCTATATATTCAGGCTTCTGGTTTGACGCATCTGATTGGAGACCATCTCGGTGTACATTTAGAGTACATCCCAATAACGATGTTGAACATAGTCTGTACACTTACAGCGGCAACAATGACTGAGTTCGCATCTAATTCAGCGACAGCTTCAATTATTTTACCCATTATTTATAGCTTAGTAAGTCAGACGATGATTTTTGCTTATCCGTAAAACACAATTTTTACTATACTTTTTCGATCAATTTTCTTTAACTTACTGTACTGGTGTTTCGTTTTCATAGTTTAAAGAAACAAATCCGTTCTGGCCAGTATTGTTATTTGCTCTGTATACAGAATAGACAATACTAAGGGATTTCATGAGTCAAAAGATAAGTTTTCAGTGTTTTTTCACCGAAACATAGAACACATTTCATGGCGTTTCTGTGGTATGCCTCCAATTATGAACGATCCATGCTACTTAATGAAGTTTATTCTCCATAAAAAAACACTGTTGCAAAACATTACCCTACAAGATGCAATAATTAAAAATTTTGAATGAAAGTCTGTTCTCCATTTGCGCTTGAAAGTGTAGCCTGTATCTAATCGTTGTGAGCTTTAACAAGATATATTAATCCTCACATTATTATGATTGACGTTTCTTGTTCAAATAGTTGTTATTTTCTTTTACTATTGTTTTTATTTTGTATTAGTTGAAATAATTGTTCAATCTGGTGGTTTATTCTTAATAATTCCTAATAAAACTGGTTAGTCACCTATACCTGAATACGAGTATATGTTGGTGTTCTCACACACTTCAATAGAGTGTTTTCAAAAACATTGTTTCATAAGATAATCAGACAACATACTGCAAACACCTGTAATAGTGTAGCTACTTCAAAACATAATATAGAAAATGAAATTTTTAAAGATCTCAGTGATTAAACTTTAAGTAAATCCAAAGTTGTTTTTCCGGCACTCTAGTCCAAGTAAATATAATCAAACATTAATTATCGAATATAAATACACGCACGGTTCTCTAGTTATTTGTAAGCTAAGCAAATCATCCAATTATGTTAACACTGTAGTAAGTGAGAATTATTACAGTGTGTATGGTATGAGAAATGTGTTAAGGTAACAGATGTATAAATGTACAGGTGAATCTAATGCGAGAAAAATAGAGGTTTTTGATTAAATCAGATAATTTTAAGATTGATATGCGTCTAACATACTACAGTATTGTTTGCAGTTATCCATTCGTATAAGGCTTTTCGTATAAAGTGAAAACCTTTTGCAGGATTCTTATGCCAACTAGACTAATTATTGTTGCCGCATTATTGAATACAATACTACCAACAACTTGTTTTCTAGTTTTCCAAGTTCTTCTGAGAATTTAAGGAATCTCTTTAGGCGAGTTTTTTTGTTCTATCACCCTCATATTTATCTACTTTGATATATCACCAACATACATAGTATTATTTTATTCCAGCCACCAAAAATCTGTTTAAGGTACCTAAACGAAACTGCGGTGTGTAATAATATTTCTAATCTGCAAAGCTTGTCCAAGTCTTTGGACGAATTAAATAACCTATTTTCCTCAAGTTATTACGCGCCTTTTGACCCTGTTTGTTATTCGCTGATATCTTGGTTGATTTTTAATCGAGTGGTTGTGTACATGCTTGCTTTGCTTATTACATATCTGGACTACTTTTGTCCAACAATAAATATTTAGTCATACCTCTTCTCATTGAGTTGGTTCACTGGCCTTCTCCACTTCGCATCCTTTTGCTTGTATTCTGTTCATTCTCGTCTTTCCGCCTAAATGAATGTACGAAAAAATCCATCCTCTAAACCACACTGGGTTATTAATCACCACTGTGGTGCGAACGGGCTTCGCTTAAGAATGATGTACGTCAAAAATAAGTGTGGCAAGATTTATGACTATTTTAATTAATAATAGTCATGATATTTTACAGGGTGAGTATCAATGAGGTATACTAGATCACTTTGTCTCACTCTTATAACAAGGGTCAGACTACCACAACTGTTAAACCAGCTGAACTGTAGACCCTGACAGTTCTGGATCATTTTTCATGATTTATGTACCCTTTATTGATATCATAACTATTGTAGTTGTTCGTATACACAAAAATTATTTTTTCAGTGCGAGGGACTTCGAATTCATCCATTTTCCATAGCATTCCCAGTAACTATTGCAACATCATTTTCATTCGCACTTCCTGCCGCTACACCCCCGAACACTATTGTTTTTGCCAAAGGAAGAATTCGGGTCAAACACATGGTAAGTTTAGTTTCTTGATATGAAAACCATTGATAAAGTCCAAACACATAAGGTTAGCTCTGGAATTCTGATGTGGGGTTGGATGTAAGAGGAGGAGAAGAAATGAAGAAGAGGTTAACTGACTTGGCAAACGTAACGATGTGCTCATATATAGTAAGAAAAACGAAGAGCTGGAGATAACATAAGCCTCAAATAAGGAGGGTCTCGAAAACGAGATTTAGAGCAAATGGTTTGACGCATTGCAGCTATCATGAATAAGTGCACCTCTTTACAGATAGATTTTGTAGAACAGTAAGTAAGTTATCACTAGCTTTGGCGCTAGTTTAAATATTCACTCAAAACTGTATTCTTTCAATTAGTTTAGCAAGGAGGTACTACATATTTTCACTGCGCAGATTTTATACGGTCAAATGATAATCTTCTTAAAGATAATGACAGATTACATATTCAAGTATAAATAGAAAGGCGACAAACTTTATATTATTGAAACACATTACTGAGTTAAGAGTTGATTAGACTAATTATATCAGAAAACTTGGTTACATGTGATGTCTCGTTTCAATAGGCATCTTTATATTTCCTAACATTTTCTGACAGCGTTTTATACTTTTCATTTCATAGTTATTGGCTGGGATCCCAATGAATATAGTCGGCTGTTTAGCTGCAGTCGCAGCTGTATCAAGTTACGCGGTACCATTATTTGGATTGAGCACTGTGCCTTCCTGGGTAAATTCTGTAACCAATACAACAAAACCGTAAATAAACACATGAGTGTTTAAATTGCGTCTGTCTTTTTTGTTACTATCCCTGATGTAAAACCAATTCATCCAAATTTTCACTATTTTGGGGAAAAATTTTGGGTCGTTCGTCTGGTATTCGTATTCCGAAGTTGATCGAAAATGAAAAAGTGTAGACTTATCCATGTTTTTTCATGTAATACGGTTATTCATCTTTCAAATCATATATCCAATATCCAATATCTTTTTCGCGAGCTAGTGTAAACCAATTGATTTCTTTGCGCTCGATTCTTGTTCTTTCGATACGGTTCAAGGTGTTCGGTAATGGTACAAACTTTTAGACGCTTAATAATACTTTAAAAGGCAAGGAATGATAATTTTAGATGCAAAATTCTAACAGATAAAGTTTGAATACTGTAAAGCCCGCAGTTACAAAATATTTGATAATATTTTTCTACCGATAAATTCAAAACAGAGTGGTTGAGGTGAACATGATTCTAACCGTAAATACTGCCAATAAATATCGTAAGAAAGACTCACACGAATTAGAAAACTATGCTATTAAGCCAGTACGGTTATTCACCGAAATGTAGTACAGTCTCAATTTAAAATATATCAAAAATATTGATGAAGAACAAGAAAAAGCTACTGAAGAAGGGATTACAAGTTCCTTATGAACTAGGAACGTATTTCTGTTTGCTAAAGGTCAAACAATTTAATCAAGAAGACTTTGTTCTAGAAAACATAATACTCTAGACCTTTAACAACCAAAACTAAGTTATAAGCCAAACAAGAAGAAAACTAGTTGCTCTAGGTAACAAGGGTTGTTCGTAAACCACCAACAGCCAAACAAAATATACTGGTTTTTTGAAATCTATTACTAATTTCACAACAAACCTTCAATCTTTTGGTCTTGAATACAAATCTTCGAAAAACCAAAAGGGAACAGTGTGATAACCTAAAATTCCAAATTATCAAGAAAGTCAAAAGGTTGAGTTAAACAATCAAGTCTAAAACCTGATAACAGTATCGATAAATAGTTCACAGTCGGTAAATGTTCTGATTTCTTCTCATGACATGATATTTCATATTATACAAGCCAAATAGTAACGCTTCGGATTGAAAAGAAGCAATTCCACAGTCATTGAATTTGACCGAAAGTTAAAACAAATCATAGTCCATCGAATTTGGCAGATAAAGTAATCTAAGGAGGCAACCAAATTTTAGGCAGAACAGATAGCCGCGATTTAATATGAAGCCGAAAATGGACGGATGATACGGTTAGAAGAGCCAAAATTAGTAATTTTATATTAAGGGGGAAAACAATGTCATTTTGGCGCAAAATTTCAACAAACAGCTCTATTTTCAAATCATTGTTCATTCCATTTTTTATTTAAGGTAGTTGAACCTGTTGTGATACAAGTCTCAAGTTCTCAAATCTATGCGAAAATTAATATTTAATCATTTCTATACTTTATCTCATCATGGTGAGAAAGTTCTTGACTTGTGTGCGTATGAATGTTATATTGGTTTTTAATATTAAGTGCATAAGAGACTTGCCCCTGAATAATCTAATGAAACCATAAATCCAAAGCAGAACAACAGAATAAATTAGTATGGAATGAGGAATCTGCGACTGAGGTGAATAAAGTGTGCAAGCTGAAACCATGAGATTTGAGTGGTGACCGAGTCGAGATTGACTTTGATCACCAATAAATATTCACTACTATCCCGTAACAAATTATCGAAATAAATCCAAGGCCGAATATTTATTTGAAGAATGGTAGCAATGCGAAAAAGTAGGTTGAGCACAAGTAAGTGTTTTTGATACAGTTAAACTAAACGAGTACAATAATAAATGTTTATTTTTCACCAATCGCGTTTCCTTCGTAGAAGTGTTCCACCACGGCAGCCCCTCTAGAAAGGGTTCAGACTTTCGATGAGTAGGGGCTTCGTGCGTGGAGGTGCTGGTTGGCCAACGTGCGATTGTACTTCGAAACGTTTGATGAACAGGAGGCGTTGAAAAGAGCGTGGGTGATCAGCACAGGTTTCATCAAGACTAACCGAAGTCGACGCTACCAACAGGCGATGGTCGTAGACATGGGCGCAGGATACAAAATGGAAGAAAAAGAGAAAAGTGTAACATACATGTAGTATGAGGATAGTTTAATATCACGTATCCGTTGTTTCCTGGGTGGTCATTCGAGAAAACGTTCAGATAGGCTTTCTTGACGACCGGAAAGCGAGACGGTAGCTTACCTACCTTGTGAGCCAGCGATCTCATCCGAAGTCAAGGGTGGCGTGGTCTACTGATCTGGACGTGAGACCAGAGACTCATCCGTAGATAGTGCAGATAATGAGTGCTGTTGACTTGGACGTGAGGATGAGGTCTGTGATTTGTCTAGCATAGGATCCGAAGTAACACTAAGGACCTCGCCAGTAGGTTTAATAGGTCTAGCATTGTGTCTCGAATTAGCAAGAAGGGCACTGTCATTGACTTGTGCTGGCTTGAGACGATCAATGCTGACTATATCGACGCGGCCACGTCCAGAAAACTCTGTCTTTTCATGACGAGAAATCACGTGAAAAAGTCCCTCGTCAGGCTGCTGCAAAGAATCGACTCGTATAAAAACATGTGAACAGGTAGATAACTCTCGGGCGAGAGCAACCTTTCGATGTTGTACTCGAGTTGACACCGGAGGCAGTGCTTGCATAAATTCAGACAACCGTTGGACGTAGTCTGATTTACTGAAGTAATCACTTCTCCGTGGTGTGAAAAACTCCACAGGCAGACGCAATGTAGTGCAGTATACCAATTCAGTGGCGGAACATTGAATATCTGCCTTTAAGCTCGTTCTGATACCTAAAAGGACGAGCGGTAAGGTTTCGTGTGCTAGTAGAGCACTTTTACTTTGGCGATGAAACCGTCGAACTAAACCATTCGTAGCTGGTTGGTAGCGGGTAATGCGCATGTTCTCCTTACCAAGCAGCCGGGTTAGCGAGGAGAATAATTTTGACTCGAACTGTTTTCCCCGGTCAGTTGTGACAGTCGAGGGTTAACCGTAAAGCGCTATCTATAGTTCTACGAAGCAGTGAGCAACTGTTTCCGCCATAATAGATGTGATGGGAATAGCCTCAGGCCATCTTATGAAACGATCGATGCACGTCAGCATGTGTTCATACCCATGCGGTGTTGGCGATGGTCCTACAATGTAAATATATACATGATCGAAGCGAGCATCAGGCGTAGCAAATGTGCCTATGGGGGTGGCTACGTGGCTAAGGATATCGCTGAACTGGCGAAGGTGACTCGTCAGCTGATGACACGAACAGTAACTCCGGTCGGGTGCGGTAAGCAAGAGATAAACACTGTTGAGAAGAAGATTGAGGAGCTGGAGCGTAAGGTTTCAGCATTACGAGTGCGGCGTAAAAGGAACGATAAATGTCACGCTTGTGGAGGGGCAGGACATTGGAAGATAAACTGTCGAAGAAGACGACGACGATATTTTGGACGTAACGTATGTTCTTTCCGCCCTAGGAATCTGGAGGTTCTTGCACTAGTAGATAGAGGGGCAATTTATGCCAGAGTGTACATAAATGAACAGGAGTTAGTGTGTTTGGTCGATACAGGAGCAGCTATATCGTTATTAGGCAAAGAGCGATGTAAGACAATCAAACCATGTACATTAGCTGTTCACACCACAGGAGGGCATATGCTAGAGGTGTTAGGGGTATCTAACAGTATTGTAAAAATGAGTGGAGCTGAGACAAATTTTCCGTTCGTGGTAACCACAAGCTTATCGAGACCGATATTAGGAGCAGATTTCCTAAGAGAGGTAAAAGCGATAATTGACTTAAGAAGCGGTAAAGTGGTCACGAAATATGGTTCATTGCCAATACACGAAAGTAGCGAAGTGGCTGAAATAAGGATGGCAACGGACGTCTCGACCAAGAAACCAAACACTAACGAGTTATGCGCAAAGTATGCGAAACTGTTCACTGGGATGGGGAGCCGTATGGATTTTGTGACAAAGTAAAGCATGAAATTCCTATAAAGAACGACCGAGTAAATATTTTTGCAACACGTCATGTCCCAGTGCATTTAGAGGCCGATGTAAATCGACAGGTCCAGGAAATGTTGAAGGAAGGTATAATTGAGGAAGCAGACAGCCCGTATAGCTCGCCGGTACTCTTGGTAAAGAAACCCAATGGAAAGTATAGAAAATAATATAACAGACCTGAAACCGTGCGCAATGCCAACAGTAGTAGAAACATTAGATTGGCTACAGAATGCAACCGTGTTTACAGTGCTGGATTTACGGTCAGGTTATTGGCTACTACCTATAAAAGATAGCGATCGCAACAAGACAGTATTTACTATACGGGATAAATAGTATCAATTTAAACGAATGCAGTTTGGGTTGGCGGGTGCACCGTTTACGTTCAGAAGATTAATGACGCTACTGCTCAAGAATCTAGATAACGTGGAGGTATATGGCGACGATGTAGTTGTGTACAGCCTGACGGAAACAGATCACGTCAAGCATGTGGAAGCGGTCTTAAAGCGAATTGACGAATTTGGGCTTCGAATTAATGAGGAAAAGTCGCAGATGGCGAAAAACAGCGTCACGTTGTTGGAAAATGGAGAAATAAAGCCATTGCCGGAGAAAATTCATACCATAAGAACTATTGCAGTACCTAATTCGAAAAAGAAGTTGAAACAGTTCCTGGGAAGAGCAACGTTCTATAGTCGGTTTGTCAAAAATTTCAACGAAATAGCAGCACCCTTATATAAGTTGCTGAGCAACACCAAGTTTACATTGACTGAGGCTGCTGAACAAAGGTTCAACCGAATCGAAAACATGCTAGATGATCGTCAGATGACTCTAAGACTGCCTGAACCCGGGAAAACTGTTTACAGTGGCCACAGATGCAAGTGATCATGGTATAGGTGCGGTATTGAATCAGGCTGATAGAGTGGTGGAATACGCAAGTCGCGTTCTCACACTCGCCGAGCAGAAGTATTCAACGATCGAAAAGAAGTGCCTAGCGATCGTGTGGGCAGTTGAAGAATGAAGAGCGTACCTTTTAGGTAGACGACTTCACATTGAGACCGACCATAAACCCCTTCCAGTGGTTGAGAACAGCAAGAGACCCCCGAGGGAAGTTGGCGCGGTGGATGATACGTCTGCAAGAATACTACTTCAGTATCGGCCAGGAAAGGGAAACGTAATGGCGGATTACTTGTCAAGATCAGACATGGAAGCTGACCTTCGAGTGACAGCATACACGCTGAGTAGTTTAGATGGAGACCCATTAGAACTCATCCGGTAACAGAAACCTGACCCGAACCTTCGAGAGGTAATCAGAGTGATAAAATAAGGAGAAGAAGAAGAAGAAGACGTAGACAAACGAACGACGGACAAGGAGGTAATAATGTTACTTCGGCAAAAGGAACGCATATGGAGTCCTGACCTGGCAGGAAGATGACAAGAATTGGGTGGCTGTAATCCCAAAAGACTGGGGGTGTAAGATGATACACGTGTGTCACCAGGTAGCACATACAGGCATCGCAAGAACGATGGATTTATTACGACAAAGTGCATACTGGCCGGGCATGAGGGACGATGTGGCTCAATACGTGTTAACTTGCCAGCAGTGTCAACTAATGAAAAGCGATAGATAGACACAACCGCCATTACAGTCGATCCCAGTAACCGCAGTCGGTGATCTATGGTCGGTGGATATAATGGGACCTGCTAGTGATGACGGAGCATGCTACACGTTGGATAGATGCCGTACCCATTGCAGACCAGCGGGCAAGAACAGTGACCGAAGTGGTGATCCGGCATATTGTAGCGTGCGACGGAATACCGAAAATGATGTTAACTGACCAGGGTCCCTGTTTTGAAAGTGACGAGTTTAAAGACCGTCTAAAACAGCTTGGCATCAAGAGGATACGAACTACACCGTATCATCCTCAGACAAACGGGCTTACAGAGAGTAACAACCGCTCGTTAAAGGAATGGTTAGCATCTAAAGGAGGAGATTGGGAGAAAGAGTTACCATTGATTTTGATGGCGCATCGTTCCTCCATACAATGTACAACCAAGCAATCACCCTTCTCGCTCATGTATAGCAGACAACCGCGACTTCCATTGCACATTAAGACCTGGCCACAACAACAGAAATGGACAACAACAAGGTTAGGAAAAGAGAGGAGGGAGGCAATCAGGAACGAGGGAAAGAAGAAAATATCAGATATAAAGAAGGCGGAACAACAGAGGAGAACGTGGAAACCTATTGCAGTGGGGGACCTAGTAAAGTGTAGAGAACGAAAAAGTAACATAGCAGGGGGATCAGGGTGGGGAAAGCTGATCCCAAAGTGGGACGGACCGCACGTTATCACGGAGAGACGCGGCGAAGTGTATACGATCCGGAGAGAAGACAAGCAGAAGCATGTAAATGCCAGTCAACTGCAGAGGTGGTTTCAAGATTATCTAGTGTGTGAGTCACGGAAAGCACCAAAGAAGACAGCGATATGGCGATCATAAAGACTACGACGACAGCTTATTAAAAGGGAGGGACGATTGTGGTGCTCGCTACTTATAAGTAGTATATGACGCGAGTGTAAACGTAATGTCTGGCAGCAGAAGATGGGGGAAGATCGAGAAAGGAAGAGTGGGAACACAATGGAATTCATATGAAACGCATGAATAGTGAAATTTCAGAAAATGGATTGATGATGGATTGAAGATTCGCAAATTAACGGTTACGATATGGTTTTCCTATTTTACTGAGTAACTCTGTAATTTGCGATAAATACAATTCGGTTGCCCTCACCTGTGTTCTCCTTCACTACAAGACCATCCATGAATGGCATAGAAGACCAGACGACCATAAGCAGAGGGTACAATGGGTCGGGGTAAGCCAGTAGAGTTGTCACATCGGATGGTACCTGAAGTGACAGCTAGGGGCACTTCCTGGCACTGAATGGATGTTGATTGTTTTGCTTCTGCACAAGAAAGATCATTTGCTTGAGAATCGGCCATAACAGGAAGATCATGCAGCGATAAAGTAGCTGCATTCACATGAAGACGTGGCAGTACATCGGCGACATAATTCAATTCGCCTTTAATATTATGAAGGTTTGTCGTGAACTGAGTTATATGGTCCAAATGTCTGGACTCTCATGATGAGTAGCGGTCAGATTTGGTATTCAAAGCATACGCCGAAGACTTATGTTCGGTAAAGAGGATAATGTAACGAATTTCTACTTCGTGCTGGAAATGTTCGGTAGGCTGCCAGCAGTCCGCGACCAAAAGCGCTACACCTCGTCTCCGTAGGAGTGAGGCGTCTTGAGGAAAATTGGAGAGGTTGTCAACTTCCGTAGATGTTCTGTTGCATAACGAAATCTGATGCATCAACCACTATACTAAGCTTGGCTTCAGCTAAAGCTATTTTTAACTCTAAAAATGCTGTACGTGCTGCATCGTTCAACTCTAATTTACGTGAGTTACCGCGGAGTAAGTTGGTTGATGGTTGTAACTGTTCTGCCGCGTGAGGAATGAAACGTCGGTAGAAGTTAACCAAACGGAGAAAAGCCTTCAGTTCTTTGAGTGAAGACGGTACAGTGTACGCCATGATTGTATGTACTTTATCTTCACAAGGTAGCATACTCTCATGCTTGATGATGTGACTCAATAATTTTATTTCTGCAATGCCCAGTTCAAACTTGTTTAGGTCAACTACTACTAGGTCTACTACTATTCGTACTACGCTATCAATAAACCTTTGGAAATTTCGAGCAGCATTACGTAATATAAATGGCATTCGTAGGAACTCAAAAAGACCGAAAGGAGTAGTGATAGCAGTTTTCTCGACATCTTCAAGAGCGACTGGGATCTGATTATATGCTCGTACCAGACAATCTTATAAAATATAGTCGTGCCTTTTTGTGATGCCGTGATGTCGTGTATTTGGGACACAGGATATCTATCGAAACGTGTTACGACGTTTAATGCTCGGTAGTCGCCACATGGGTGCCAACTTATCTCAACCTTTTTGCGAACCATGTGGAGTGGTAAGGCCCAAGGACTGTGAGGACGAATAATACATGTAGCTAGTAAATAGACATACGTTTAGCGGAAGGGAATTTGTCCGGTGCCCGTCGGCGAAGTCATGCTGTGACTGGTGGTCCGCGGGACGCGATGTGGTATACCATATGGTGAGTCACCGACAGATTCTCCTCAAGTGGTTTAGTTAGCTGGGGTAATTTTTCTAGTAAAGCGTGGACAAATTCACCACGCGAATGAAATACACCTGTTTGAGCACGAAAGCTCATGAATTTGCTGTTCGACGAAGTATCGATTAGCTGCAGCTTACGTGAGTAGCTGCTCTGAGAAATCGATACCGAGTTTGGCACTAAGCTGCACCCTGATTTGTAATTTCATCAGACTACCCAGAATCCGTGGCGCTATTCTAATTGCTTACATCTTGTAATCAGTAGATATGGAATTTTTCAAAGCAACACTGTCTGTTTTCTACCGTCAAGTGCTCATTCGAAACCATAAGTAGATATTCATGAGTTATGAGATTAGTTTGAGGGAGATACAAGGGGGGTAAAGTCTTCTTCGAGATGTGCAAGATACTGACTAAGATTGACTGAAACATCGATCACAAACGGATAAATGTATAATAAAGTGTTGGTAAGTAAATTCCCAATATAAGTAGTTGCGTAATTTTCCGACATTCATTCCTACCTGAGCAGTCGAAGGCACTTGGTCATGTATCCACACCACATCTCCAAGTTATGCATTTTTTTACAACTAGCCAGTCTATTTCACGCATTTCTTGACATGAAAACTGTCTTTCATATATGTCTTCGAGATCCTTCATTCCTGCCATGAAGTTCAGCCGAGTTTTGGATTCAACATCATAAAGGTGTGGCGAACAACTACTTGACCTTGAGACTGGTTTAAATCCTGTTTTTCTTAACAAATCAGTCTTCGAGCTTTAGGGTTCTAGTCTCGCTTTCCAGATTCTGGAAATCAAAATCCTGAGTTCGCTTACTGGTTTTCTAGCTAATTTGACATTTCTCTCTCTGCTCTTGCTACTCTGTATGCTCCACTAGTACTCAAGGTACCTTATAGCTAGACGCGAACCCTTACATTTTCAAAGTTATGGTATCTTAACTCACATTAGGTATTTGAGTCTCAATAATGAACAGAAGAGACAGTGTTGATTTTAACGGAAATCCGTTATCTTTCCTGTCGTGTGAATGCCATATTAATGAACCTGAAGTAAGCCTAGATACTCTAGGTATTAATAAACTACGTATCAATAGAAAGTGGCTTTTAACTCTGACATTAGGGACATCAGCAAAATCTCCTGTGGAGAGTACACCGAAGCAGTTACGTTGCTGAAGAAGGTTTGTGTTTCTATCAACTCTTTTAGTTCTAGGTTGTGAATAAATGTTTGTTCACATGGGAAACATTTCCTGTACAACTGCCTAAATCCTTCTTATCTCTAGCAGCAAACGAAGTTAGTTTTTCACTTCATGGCTTTTTATTGTGTTCAGGATTGTAATATATTGAGTGTTTTCTGTGACATCGATGTTAATAAATGTGAATCGGCTGCCAGAATATACTTTCGGGATTTAAATGTCGTAAACAAGAGTCAACGTCAGGAAATTCGTACAGATGCACAGTTTGTTGTGCCCTGCACAAACTTCACGGGCAAGCTTGCCGTTGTAAGTTATTGTTGTAGGTGAAGTACATGCCTGGAAAATCTCTCCCTGGCTATTGAATGGAACTCGAAATATCTACAAACATTTTAACAAAGTAAAAATTTTTTTGACTCATCTTTTTCCAAGGATTTATATACGGCCTTGTCCATCATAGTGGTAACTTCTGTGGATTTTATAGAAAATCCAAATTTCTCTGTTTATCGATCTTTGGCTGATTTATGCATCGCCGTTTACTCTGTGCTGGGCAAGTTCGCATTTTGTTGCAATTTTTTTTACAACCCTAGTGAGTGGTTGGTTTTCGTAAGATTACCTAATCATCGATCAGAGGTCGTCCGTAAATCACATTTTTTGGGAATCTGGCACATTATCAACGTATTATACTGCACCGAGTTTCATTCGGTTCAGCAGTTCTGATAATTTACTTTACTTTTTCCTGATTATAAGCACGAGGATATATTTTCGTTGAACATCTTTCCACTTTATTTCAAAAAGTGTATATTTTATTAATAATATTGGTGATCCGGAATTTTTCATCGATGTGTCGCTACATCCAGTTTTACAAGAAAACTTGTTAGATCATTTCGATCGGCCAGACTAAATTTGGTTCTCAGTTTAAAGTTATGATTTCCTTATGTACTATCTCTCTTAAAATTTGTTTCGAGCTGTAGCAAGTGTGCACTGTAGGTGCATACCTTGTACACATAACATTTACAATGTACTTCATGTAAATTGAAGATTGTTGATTTCGTATGGAAGCCCGATTCGTATATTCAAAGCGATTAGCTGGAATTCATTTGTTTGCTCATTTTTTAACCACACCAGTAGCTCTGACAGCTATATGGTGGAGTCTATGGAAAATACTCGAGCGCTATTCAATTAAAATGCAGTTATATTTAGAGTTATTATATTTTCTGACACATACAAATCATTTCGGCTTGTGTGTTCTGTTCCGCCCATTGGTTTTTGACAAGCTGATTAAGTTCCAACTGATTAACAGAATGAAAAATCAGTCAAAAGAAAGAAAATATAGGTGGGAGGGAATTTACAGTCAAAAGCAACATAATGTATAATAGACATTTCAAACAGTATGTTTTCCAACAAAAGTAAGCACTTGACCAGTAGTGGGAAATTAATTCAGAAGCATGGTTCGCAAACAAGTGAAATGTAGTTTTAGGGTTAATATTTACCTTCACAGTATGTATTAATTGGTGTGGTTGGTTTCTGAAAGCTGCGCTTACCTTTTAAAATTGGTGGTAATTTTCCCTAATTCGTTATTAGATATCTTTTTTGGATGGCCTCGAGTCAATAAAGGTGATGTTGATCGCAAACTGCTTGAAGAACGACTTCGGTTCCTGATATGTGAGCTATCAGTCAAAGTAAGTGGGATTTTAAACCGTTTACTTAAATGTACAATAGAATTAATTGTAACTTGACGAGCTGCTTCAATTGAGTTTATTTTTTCTAATTATATCATGTGTAATGTTATTTTTAATTTGCTTCACATCTTTTTGAGAGTAGACCTGTCTTTTATGGTACTAAACAGTTACTTTTCTATATCCGAATCTCGCACCTGAAATGTAAAGGAACTGTCGACAATTATAATTTACCATAATTATAATTTTAGTAATCATTCACTAACTTGACGCAAGTCCTGACAATGCAGTCATACAGCGACTCAGTTGTATGTTAAGGAATTGTAGTAATAACAACATTGTCATTATTATAATTTTTGCACAAGAATACTCTTGGCCCTTCTCCAGTTGTGCTAACTGGCGTATTGTCGACCGGTCGGCGTGCCCCAACATCATCCTACGTTAGACATGCTTTAGTTCAATATATGTCTTGCTAACATTCTTATAAACAACCATCATTCCATGTATGTATTATCGAAATAACTACTTACGCTTATTACCCCCAAAGGAGCATACGCCGCCGACCGGCATTCTCCAACATACTCTGTCCTCGGCCTTTTCCGATTTTGTCCAATTGTTGTTCATTATTCTGCCTACGCACCCACTGACTGCAGTTCAAACGGGGTGAAAGATGAGTTTTACATAAACCTCTCTAAACTTCTTCAAGCGCTTTGATGTAGTAATAATGGCTGGTGACTTCAATGCCCAAGCATGTAGACAATGTGAGAAGGTAAGACACCTAGGTAGATCTTATGGTGTCGCAGCTGATCGAACAGATAGTGGCGACCGTCCGCTGAAACTACGCTCAGATAACCGTCTATTTCTAGCAAACACTAACTTTAAGTATAAGGAAAAAACATCTTTTGACCTAGCAACCCCCAAAGCTGACCCAACGCTGAACCCAACTAGATCACATCTCTAAAAGCCATCGGCGGAGAGGCTCTGTTGAAGACTGCCGCTCATTCTGGAGCACTTGTGTAGACTCAGACCATGCTCTAGTGCGGGCGCGCATTTGTTTGCGTCGTACTGGATGTAGGAAAAAAAGTCTCAAGGAAACCTCTTAAGGCTCTACTTAGTGATAATAAAGCTAAGAATATCTTTCAGGAGCAACTAGAAAAGCAGTTAGGCGGCCATGTATTAAGTGATGCTCGTCCTGAGGCAGGTTGGAACGAAATCAAAAAGGCCATGGAAACAGCAGTGATATCTTCTAAGGTAAACCATAAGGTAAAGGAGAAATCGTGGATTTCAGTAGCATCTACCGAACTGATAGATGCTCGAAAGGTCATCCTGCCTGGCTCTGAGTACGATTAGGAGTGGAGTCAACTTAGGCGCAGGTTGATAAAAAGCTAACGCAATGATCGTAAACAGTGGTGGGTAGCGGAAGTAAAGGAGATAGAAAAGGCAACGGCGGTAGGCAACAGTAGGTAACTATTCAGACTCATCAAGGAGACCGGTAAGTGAAACTATTTAGTAAAAGGATGGTCATATCATTCACTCTCCTGGAGATTGGATAGATGGGCAGAACACTTTATGGGTCAGTTCAAACAGCCTTCAGCCACACTTCGGTTACCCAGAATCTCCAACCATCCTGAATGGGGAATTGATGTAAGTTCTCCGAGTGTTTATGAAGTTAAAAAAGGATGGGAAATCTGAAGCGAGGAAGAGCAGCGGGTCCTGATAGATTGACCCCTGAGATTCTTAAGGATGGTGGTCCAGTTTTAGCAGTTAGATTGACTAAGATCATAGGTAGAATTCGGGAACCGGGCGTAATCTCGTCCAACTGGTCTCGATCCTTGATAGCTTCAGTATATAAGAAAGGACAAAAGTTCTATTGTGACAACCACAGAGGAATCAGTTTGTCTGGCTTAGTGTCCGAAATGCTAGTTTAGATAATACTTTGACGCCTAACTGGAGTTCATGAAGAGCGGAATAGAGAAAACGAGGCTGGTTTCCAACGTGACTGTATGGATCACATTTTAACACTACGTCAGTTCTTAGAACATGTTACGGGTATGAGGGCGGTTGTCACTTCCCGGCTGCCCACAACGTGGAAGATTGTTTCTTGAGAAACCTGAAAAGGAAGATAGATTAGTGTTGGTCTTAGAGACCTGGGAGCGTGACCGCAGAGTCCAAAGGACAACTGCTTGAGGCCGGTCACACACGGCTTTTTTATTAAAGGATTGTTTAGTATTAGCTCCGCTCTTAAAAGCCCTTAGTGGGCACCCTTACCGCCGGAGACGGAAATCCGTGAGGTAGGGTGAAGTGTGACATTTTTAGGGTCGACCTTTTCTAATCCTCCCGTCCTTGTAAGAAGGCAGCATCGCTGCAGATGCTGGTTGTCCGAGGGAAACGCCTTACTGCTGTCACACCCCTCTGCAGTCAACAGTACGACTTCGCCCTCAGACCTTGAGTAACTGCTTTTCGTCTCATCGTTCTCCAGTCGACCTGCCTGGAACATATTTTCCAGCCAATATAGCTCGGTTGGGTCATCACGATAGGCAAGCCCGACCACCACGTCAAGGTAGCAGCTTCGTTCGGGTCTTAGAACATAGAAACACATTTTTGCGTCTGACAATAGGGGTCCTCCCTCGACTTTGGGTGGGAATTCGACTCTGTCGATCGTGAGGTTCTGTGGCAGTGCCTGTCATTAAAAGGTGTACCAAAGAAGTACATTAACCTTATCCAAGCCCCTTACTCGAAAGCCACAGGTCGAGTTAGAGCTTATGGCGAACTGTCATCGGAATTCTCTACTTCAAGTGGCGTTCATTAGGGATGTCCACTTTCCCCATTTCTGTTTAATTTTTTTATAGACAAGCTGCTAGATATAACCTTGTGTAGGAGTAGGTTGGAAGAAAGCTAGGGGCGGCCAGACCAAAACTTAGCAGAAATCCATGAAGTCACTGACTAGTGGACTGAGTCATGTTGGTAGATGTAGACTACCTGGTTGGGGTCCGCGAGACGAAAGTCACCAGTGGTTAGAGACCTTAAATGACATGGCTCAAAATCGTTTTCAAAGGCGCAAGTGCATCCATTCTTTGAGCTCTCTCAAATCCTAATCTTCTGGATTCGTCAGCACCTCTACCTTTGTCTTCTAACCTTATCTCACTGATTTATACTTCTTGAATAATATCTTCGAACCCTATTCTTTTTCATTACCATTAATACCTCTACCATCTTTATCACTATGGGATTTGATTTGACATTTGCGCCTCTGTGCTAATGTGCTATGGCAACATGAACTTATGTACATACGTACGAAGCTCTACGTTGCAACTGACTGACTGACTGAGATATAACCTTATTCTCCTCTGAATTTTCAGGAGTGGACCTTCTACCAGGAAAATCGCTTGCCAACGTAGAATATGCCGATGACATAGTTCTATTCGGTCAAGACGCTGACAAAATGCAGTCTTCTGACTACCATACACAACAATGCGAGCATGTTCGGGATGCGGTTTTCCCCCTCAAAACGCAAAATGTTGCTTCAAGATTGGGTTGCATCGGCACCTGAACTAGTGATAGGGAGTGAAGTAGTCGAGCGTGTTGACCGCTTCACTTATCTTGGGAGACTCATCAGTGCTGATTATCTGGTGACTGAGTAAATCTTAGCACGGACACAGAAGGCTCGATTGGCTTTTGCAATCTTGCGTTACTTATGGCGTAGGCGAGATATCCGTTTGCTGACTAAAGGACGATTGTACCGTGCAGTAGTTCGCCCCGTCTTACTTTATGGCTGTGAAACATGGCCAGTGAGAGTAGGAGATATTCGTAGGTTGTTTGTCTTCGATCATAGTTGTCTCCGAAGCTTTGCTTGTGTATCATGGGACAACCGAGTAAGAAATACTGTTGTTAGGAAACGGGTGCTAGGTAAGGATGGCAGATCAATAGATGAAGTAATGAAACTTCTTCAGTTGAGGTGGTTGGGACATGTGCTGCGTATGCCTAACCACCGCTGCCTCGACGAGCTATGTTTCGTAGTGTAGGAGTAGGTTGGAAGAAAGTTAGGGGCGGCCAGACCGAAACATGGCATAAATCCATGAAGTCATGGACAAGTGGACTGAGTCATGTTGATAGATGTAGGCTACCTGGTTGGGGTCCGCGAGATGATAATAATCGATGGTTAGAGACCCTGAATGATATGGCTCAAAACCGTTTGCAATGGCGCCGGTGTATTCATTCTTTGTGTTCTCTCAAATCCTAATCTTCTGGATTCTTCAACCCCTCTAGTTTTGTCTTTCTAAACTTATCTCACTGAATCATACTTCTTGAATAATATCTTCTAATCGTAACCTCTCCGATTACTTTTAATACCTTTACCACCTCTACTACTATTAGATTTGAATTGACAATTACATCTCTGTGCCAATGTGGTATGGCAACCTGAACTAACGTACGTACGTACGAAGTTCGACGTTGCATCTGACTGACTGTACCTAAATTAATGGTTACTCCGGTTGTTAGTAGGGAAATCGGCCTCGTGACTTCCGAACAAACTCGACTTCCATTATAAGGCGTCATAACTCTTCTAAATGAAGACCTTCCAACATATAGGGCAGAGTGTAAATGGTTTGAATTTTTTTCTGGTAAGCGTGCTTTTAGTGAGTTATTTTTCAACGGTATGGGATAGCTCACTCCATTCCCGACTCTATTCCTTTTTCTGGGCTTGAGGCCAGTGTTAGTCCCAAAGGGGCTTCAGGTGGAATTGCCTGTAGGTGCTACCTTACCGAAAATCGAAGAAATCGTCAAGGCGACTAAATAAATCAAGAATGACTCGAGAGCAGGACCGAATAGCATACCAGCTGAGTCACTGAAGTTGGATATATCGATAACTGTAAAGGTATTCCACATTCTCGTCAGGAAGATTTGGGAAGGAGAACAAAAACCAACCAACTGGAAAGAGAAATATTTCGTCAAGATACCAAGGAGAGATCTTAGTGAGTATGAGATTTTCGGATGGATCCTATTTCTTGTAGAAGCAGGCGAGGCTTTCATTAGTGTTGCTGGCCCAAATGGCAGATTCAGTAGATGGCCAGCTTTGAATGAGTAAGTATCGATTATGTGTCAACCAAGTGGCAACTCTGCAGGTGACTGGATTGATGTCATCACTGTTCACCAGCTTACTTGATATGACAGAGCGTTTGACAACGTGGATAGAATCTTGTGGAATTCTCCTAGAAACCCTGTAAAATCTGAGAAGATCCTAAACATCAAACCGAATTTCTACGAGGGTATGGACTTCGTAGTCATACATTATGGAAATAATCAAACTGCATCACAAAGCTAGTCGTTACTTTGAATCCTCAGGGAGGGAGACCGAAGAACATATAACACAGAAAATTGAAGACAAACATGAGAAAGATAAATAGCACTTAAGAGCAATCAGAAAGGAAATCTCAGGACGCAGTTTATTGAAAATTCTTGTTAGGTGATCTATGCTCCATAATGGGTAACAGTCTTATTTAGTCTAACAAGTTACGTCATGAATAGTTTTGAAATAGCTAATAGGTGCGCGTAAGATTCTGCCGTGTAATCTTTATCTGATAAGCTATTTATTTCTACTGGACCATATCCTATCTAATAGTCATTAAGCTTTTAAAAATTGTTTTATTCCTAGTCTAATCAGAAGAAGAAGGTGTCGGACTTTTGGAGTATTTGTGAGCATCTGAGTAAATTACCTTTTGGAAAGTGTGAAGTGAGTCCTGAAGTGAATGTTTTTTTAAATGTTCTTTAATCTAGGTTATCATTAATTGATTCTGTCATTGTGCATAGGTGAACATAGTTTTTGTTATGTTAACATTTCAAATCTGGTTTAGAAGTCCTATATTCAAATCGTTGTGATAGTGTTAGATAATTATCATTCTGAAGTTAAGAATTTCATTGAAAATACTTGAGTCATCGTTCAAGATTATTTTTTCATAGCTGAGCAAAAATCTATGCTGAACTAGTTAGTGGATTATTATCATTTGTTTGAAACTTATACTTTGAAATACCTCTAGTAGTTATTAATAAAGTAATGTTTTTCATACACACTGATACTTATTGCGATTCTAAAATTCTTACTTTCAACTAAAAATCTTCTTCAATTAACACTTCTTAATCGTGGATATAATAGAGATTTGCAGCGGAAGTACTGATTTCGGTGCTGTTAATTATTGTTGGCGCATGTAAGTAGTCATAAACTTCTTGAGTGATGGCGAAACAATAGATTACATCAAATCCCACTTTCCTAATTTTTTCATTCATTGTGTTTCATTTTCATACAGACTCAATATAATTCAGTTATAAAAACTTGGTATTTTTCTGTGTACCATTGCATAGTTGGAACAATCTTATTATATTTTTTAAACTTCGACTTGTTTACTTGATCAATTACATGCATATACGACTGAAACTGTTCGTGGAATGAAGGAGTCATGAGGTTGAATGCAGAAAAATGTGTAGATTATTCAAAGGCGAATGTCATTGGAATATCTAGAAGTTATGGGTTTTTTCAAAAATTATTATTTATCACTGTTGTCTGGATAATTTTAATGCATCTAACTCTTATTCTAAAGAGAAGCATCTATATTCTTCTGGATACTTTCATATTTAAGATATGGGTTGTGTATTCCCATTGCTAAATAAAACAGGTCACTTCATATGTTCGCGTACATTTTAAATTTTTTGAAATCAGCTTGTATTCACGAAAGAAACATCGAGAGACCATGATATTCGACAAGAAATAAACCACAGTAATGCCTATGTGTTCATGGTATAGCAATCTTAAAAACTCGTCCATGTATATCATAGTGGATTACCTGGTACTACATCAACATTAACAACGTCTTGACCGCTTTGCATCTTATTTCTTTGCATAACGTGTAATATAGGTGAACTGTTTTCCGTCCACGTTCGAATCTCACCTAGTACCACTATTTCAGCTTTCATATGGTGAGTTGCTAATGTTTAATAACTTTGTCAAGTTGTAGCAATAGTGATGTTAATAGATATTTCTTAACAATCGAATCACTAAGTAAGGTCCGTTTTTATATCATTCTGTAGTCATTGCTAAAAAGCTATTTTCTCGTAGTCACTAGTTCTAACCTTAAGAGACGCTAGTCAAATAATAAGCCAATAAATACTTTGCTCATTTATACAGTGTGAATCAATCGGCAATTAATGGATGCAATTTAATGATACTCTTAGTTTCCGGTACCACACTGAAGTTACCCTTTATTATTCTTGTGACAACATAAGTTTATGTTTTATATGAATAACTATCTTACTACTTCATTATACCACACTACCTAAAAACTGATAATGAGATCAGGCCTAATGTTCACTTGTCCCAGTCCTGAAGTCACGGCTAAACAATGTGGTCACTTAGCAGCAAACTAATTAATCAATAGGAAGTTCTATGAGAAAAATTTTAGAATAAAAAAACTAGCGTAGCTGTTCCAGTGGGTTATATCAAATTATCGATCGGTTTTGTCTCTGTTGTTGTCGTCATCATCATGGTGATATATGTATGCACAACACTGTTGTTTGTATATGTGTACGCTCGTATCTTTCTTTATGTGACTTAGTCAACTAGGCAATCAATGAAATGGATGAAGGCGTGTTTTCAGTTAACGGGAGTCGTAATTATCATTTTCATTTTGTTATTACTTCACTTAATCTATTTTGAATTAAATTCATTTAAAATAATTTCAGTCATATGAAATCACTGAAAACTGTGATCAAGTAAATAATAAAATTCATGCTTGCATTCACAAATTCGTATACTACTTAAAATAAACCAAAAACATGGCGAGTAAAATAAATTGGACAGATCTGAATATCTTATTTTTGTTATTTCTGAGTCCCAAAAGTAATTTAAACTACCATAATTTCAGTAGAATTTATCTTAGTTATTTCATTTCTATAGTGTACCAATTCAATGTTTTGTGTCGAAATTTTTCACTGGTAAATGATTTTTCTTTGAATTCCTCTGTTAGAACTTATCCAATCAAAATCAATGATAGCGGTCGCTTCAGTCAATAAATGTCAGCCCAAAAAATGTCACTTTTTGTACTTTGTGTTTCATAGAGTGATTGATGTTCCACTATTATTATAACCTGTTGAGGTTGACACTAACAATTATTATCCTAACCATTCGCACCCCAACATTCGACGCATTTGATACCTGACTCTTCTGGGTACTTTACTTTAGTCCATTAGCATTTATACTGTGATGTTCATTTGTTTTCTCATCGTTTTCGATGCATACCAGTTTGCTTTGAAAACCCTGTCTTTTCTGCTTTATTGGGCGATTAGATTTCCATTTTTGAAATGTTATGCGATAAACATCGATCTTTTTAGTCATATTAGATCCTGTATCGTATTAGGAGTACCTCACATCAATCATATTTTAGAATTCACCACACAGATATCATAACAGCTAAGAGTAAGTAATCTTTCAGTCGCTGATGGGAGTCATATCCAGTCTTTATGTGTAATGAATGATACACTACCAACTGGTCAATAGATTTGCTCAGTTATCAGTTGATTTAAAGATCTTGGTCTTGTTTTTGTCAATCTTTTGAACTCACACAGGTCAAAGTAAAATCAAAAGCGAAACATTAGGTAACAAATAACTTATTTTAGGACCTTGAATTAACTCATAAGAGTGTGAGATGTGTATGCTTCTTTTCACTGAATAAAAAAGGAAAACATCTTGTGTATTCTTAAATGTTGGTCAAGTGGATCGACTGTTGAATATACTTGTTTATAGTAATAACATACTTTTTATGAAAGGACACGATCTTACTTAAACATAGGAATGTTCTCAGCAATAAAATAATTATGATTTTTTGGTGATATCAGCAAAGATTGCAACAGTTCTCTAAGTATTAACTAACCCAAAACTAGAAAAGGTTCTTTCCTACTCACTCATTTGTTCATATCATCTTAGTGTTCATCAGTCAGTGGTTGCTTCATTATTTTTGCTCAATAGTACCACACCAACAACTTTTACTTGTACGAGTTTCGAATTGAACCCATTCTTAAAAGTTTTATCCGTCTTGGTGATATTTAATGACATGTCTGAGAGTTGTATATAAAAATGGTGACGAATTTACGTATATATATATATATATATATATATACTCATTGTTTCCTTCTCTCACCTGTTAGGAAACTCCAGACAGCATTCCGTTACCGTATCGATTTTTAACACCGACTCGAGTTTCAGTGGATCTCCGTCTTCATGATCCTGTTTTGCTTGAACGCTGTTTGCATGTAATTGGAGATTTGGACAATTCAGTGCGAGGGGATTGGTTCCAGGATTTTCAAGAATATTCTGTTTCACATTTTAGAGGTAATACAGTTATTCATTTGCTTTGAAAATGAAATTATGATGATTGAACAGCATTCATCAAAATCGTTCTAGGTCTATAGGTGTTTTGAAACAGGTTTTGCGATCTGGTGTCACATTTTATGAATTTCACCAAGTATAAATGGGAAGATTGACTTGTTATAAAATTTTTAAACTAGTATCCAACACTTTTTTTCTGCTCTTTCGTTTTTCTATGCTCATCACTTAGTATGCTTGAAACTGTTACGAGTTCCCCTTAGTCGAAAATCGAGAACAAGACAATGCCGCGTATTCCTAACCACCGACTGCCTCCTCGAACCTATGTTTTGTAGTGTAAGAGTAGGTTGGAGGTACCCTAGGGGCGGCAAAACCACAAAAATCCATAAAGTCACTTGCATGTGGACTGAGCCATGTATGTATGTGTAGACTACTGCGTTTGGCTTTGCGAGACGTTAGTAACCGATGGTTAGACACTTTGAATGACATGGCTCAAAATCGTTTGCAATAGCTCAGGTACATCCATTCTTTGTGTTCGCTCGAATTCGCATTTTCTGAAATCCTCATCACCTTATTTTTCTCTTTCTAAAATTATTTCATTAGATTGTGCTTCATGCACAATTTCTCCGAACCCTAATCTTCTCCATTACCGCTAATACTTCTACCGTCTCTACCACTCTGGGATTTGAAATGACAAATACGTTTCTGTGCCAATGTGGTATAACAACCTGAACTAACGTACGCACGTACGAAGTTCTACTACGTTGTAACAGACTGACTGATTAACAAGCATGACCATTGTGCTTCCTTTTGGTCCTAGTAATCTGTAGGATTGTTAAATGATGTTAAGTGTGCTGTGACTACAAGTAATTATTATTCATTAAAATTACAACTCTTTACAAACCAAATTGACAATATAGTGGGAAAAGAACTTATATTCAGTTCGTTGACTGGCCTAGTAACATGATACACTAAACAACAAGATTTATTCATATAACACAACAGACTAAATCATAATTTGAAGTGAATAAACTAATTGAACAGAATCATTAATTTGTTAATGTTTAGTTGGATTATCTTATTTCGCTAAATAATAATACTAAACATATATCTAATCTTCATGTTTGGAGAGCATATAAATAGGGCAATCACATTCTAATAATAATTCTCTTTCTGTAAGCGACATTTAAAACTAATTTTAACATTACTTATACAATTTCATTTAGATTGCTTTTAAATTAATAACAAAAAAATACATAAAAAAAAGTAGCTGAAATATTATTTTATATTAGTTGTAGAAAAGAAATATTTGACTCGACTGAATTTTGTTATTGATTTTTACAATTGTCTGCTCAAGTTGGGCTTCATTTAACAAAATCGATAACGTTTTTATAATTCAACAGAGTTAATGACTGACACGAAACTATTACTACTTTTTTTTGGAAGTCCGTAACTTAACCACATTTCGCTAATCCACATAAGTATTATTTAAACAGTATCAGCCTGCTTTTACACCACTCCGGCATAGTTTCTTTCTTGTTTTTTTTCTCTTGTGTTATGATGTGAAAAGAATTTTTTAAGTGAAAATGAAAGAGAGAATTTGTATTTCATGTTTCATGAGTTGTTCCTTTGGTAAACAACAAACAGTATCATGTGAGTAATTGACAGTTAGAATAGAAATCAGACTTAATATACAGAGAATCATAGGTCAGAGAAAATTCAGTTATAGAGCCTAACTTAGTTTTGGATAATGGATCAATGAAGTTTAGTTGTAACCGGCATAAGAGATAAGACGAGGAAATAACATACTTGACATAATAGTTGAGGATGACTATTTGTATGTTGAAGATGTAGTGTTGTATGAAAGCGGGTGAAGTTATAAATGACAGTAAAGAGATTGAACGAAAAGAAATTGTTAATAGATGAGTGATAATCAAAGTAATTAGTTGGTATAAAATTCAAGTTTACATCCTCATTGAATGTCAGTTGAATTTACTTTTAAGTACCGTCGTAAGCCGATTAGTTGCAACGCACAACATGGTAGGTACGTACACTAGTTAAATTTGTCGTACCCGTATTGACAGAGAGAGAGGAAACTGTCAGACCTAATTCCAGAGTGGTAGAGGTAGTAAAACTAATAGGAGTAGTAGAAAAGTTTAGGGATCAAAGACAACATTTAGGATAATACAAACAAGTGAAAAAAGGAAAAACAGTTTTTAGCGAATTCGGAAACCAATAATTTGGCGTAAGACAAAGAATGGATACACCTGCGTCATCGCAAACGATTTCGAGCCATGTGATAAAACGTCTCTAACCATCGCTTACAATTATCACCCAACCAGCTAGTCTACACCCACAAGCATGGAGTAGTCAGTCGTCAGTGACTTCAAGTATTTGTGCCATGCTTTCGTTTAGCCAACTCTAGCTTTCAGCCACACGGACCTCTCAATTAACGTTGACCCACAACAAGATCAGCGTAGCCATCAGACAAATCAACAGTGGCAAAGCAGCGGGGCCAGACGACAACCGAGCAGAGGAACTGAAAGCAGACGTAACAGTAACTGCGAAGATACTCCACATCCTCCTCAGCAAGACTTGGGACAACTACCAACAGACTGGAAAGAAGGACACCTCATCCAGATAGCACAGGGAGGAAACCTCAGCATGTTTGAAGACTATAGAGCCATCACTCATCTCTCAATACCAGGAAAAATCTTCAACACAGTGTCGTTAAACACAATGAAGTATACCATAGACGCCCAACTTCCAGACCAGTAGGCTGGATTCCCTAAGGATCGATCATGTATCGACCAAATCGCAAAATTATGAATCATTGTGGACGAATCAACTGGATGGAACACACCACTTTACTTCAACTCCATTCACTATGTGAAAGCATTCGGCAGCGTGAACGGGACGACACTACGGCGACTTCGACACCATGGTGTGCCTGAGAAGATAGTCAACATTATACGGAATTTTTGTGATGGATTAAATTGCAAAATCGTGCACGGGGGACAGTTCACAGAATCGTTCGTAATGAAGACCGGTGTCAGGCAAGCTTGCTTCCTCTCTCAACCTTTCTCAATCTTCTATAGGTCGACGCTAACACATCAGGGAAGACCCAGGATGCAGCTGGACGATCTGGACTTCACAGATGATTCGGGTCATCTATCTCGCACGCAACAACAAATTCAGGAGAAGACGACCAGTGAGCGGCAGCCTCTGCAGCAGTGTGTCTCAACATACACAAAGGAAAAAATAAGATACTTTGATACAACACAACATGCACCAATCAAATCACACTTGATGGAGAAGCTTTGGAGGATATAGAAACCTTCACATCCCTGGGAAATATAATTGTTGGACTCGGTGGATCTGATGCAGATGTTAAGGCACAAATCGGCAGAGCAGGGGCTGCATTTCTACAACTGAACAACATGTGGAACTCAAAACAACTATCGATCAACACCAAAGTCAATTTTCAATACAAGTGTCAACTCAGTTCTACTGTATGGGACGGAAACTTGGAGATCCACGAAGGCAATCATCTGGAAGACAAATACTTCGCATCCTCTGGCTAGACACCATAAGTAAAACCTACTGTGGGAGAGAACAAACCAGATTCCGAAAAACAAGCAAATCAGGAAGAAACGCTGGAGGACACACTGCGGGAAGCATCCTGCCGTGTCACAAGACGAGCACTCACTTGAAATCCTAAAGGCCAAAGGGGAAGAGGAAGCTCGAAAAATACATTACGCCGAGAAATAGAGACAGACATGAGAATAATGAACAACAATTGGGTAAAATTGGAAAAGAAGGCCGAGGACAGAGTATGTTGAAGAACGCTGGTTGGCGGCCCATCCAGCTTTGGGGGTAATAGTCGTTATTAAGTAAGTCTTCTACTGTCCTACTACTACATCAGACATCATCTCTCGTCGAGGCAGTCGGTGATGGATCATACCTAAAATAAATACAGCCACCCCAACTGATAAAGGTTCACTATATTCTAGAACCAGTCGAAGAGTGAATATTTAGTCTATACATCCACGTCCAGGTACGAAAGCAACCTGGTTTTCCTGAGTCTGCTCTTCACGAACTCTAGTTAGGCTTCGAGGTATTATTGAAGCTAATATCTTCGACACTATGTTAGTCAAAGTGATCCTTTTTGTGATTGTCACAAGAGGACTTTTTTTTCTCCTAATGATTGGGTCAATCACTGATTCAGACCAGTCAGACGGGATTATGTCCGGTTTCTAGATTCCACCCAAGATCTCAGTCACTCTAACTATACAGACTGGATCACTTACTTTAAAACGTCTCAAGATTAGTTTATGCTACTCCCCTCACTTTATATTGGATATGAACTTTTTAACTACACTAACAGTTGCTCGACACCTCTTTAGGATCGCTAAGTGATAGTGGGTAGTTGAAGTTTGACTGAAGGTCAAGTGAGCTGTTTTTTACAGTCTTCTGCCAATCAGTCCAATTTCGTAAATTGGGGATGAAAAATAGTTCCGTCTTTTACGGAGATAGTTTCACTAACAGCGTAGGCAGATACGAGGAAGAAGCAATCGCAACTGTCCCTATATTTCCGAGTCCTTAATGTCCCGTTTAGTGGAGAGCCCAAGGGACAACTGCTTGAGGCCGGTCACTCACGGCATTTTTATGAGAAGCTTATGAAGTATTAGTTCCGTTCTTTTTAAAAGCCGTTACCGCTGGAGACGGAAATCCGTGAGGTAAGGTGAGATGTGACATTCTTAGGGTCGACCTTTCCTAACTCTTGCTTCCTTGTGGGAAGGCAGCATCGCTCTACAGTCGGCAGCGCAACTTTTCCCTCAGACCTTGAGTAGCTGTTTTTAGTCTCATTGTTCTCCAACCGACCTGCTTGGTAATGTAGGATCTACAGGAACATATGTTCCAGCCAATATAGCTCGGTTGAATGATCACGATAGGCAAACCCGACCACCACGTCAGGATAGCAGCTGCAGTTGGAACGCTTTCTTATCGGTTAGGTAGTACTTCAGATATCTACTGATATGTCGATCAACTTGATTTCTTAAAATAGTCATGCGTATAGTTCTCAGGCTTTTCATACAAAACGTTTAGTACATAGAAATAGCAAACTTTTTAACAGGTTTAACCTACAACACTCAATTTCGATCAATTTTCACCCATATTATTATAGGCATCGTTGTTTGCGTATTTGATTTTTCTTAAACGTATACAGACTGTCAAGCTATTTTCATCTTACCTAGTAAAGTTGTTTAGACTAAGCACATATCTGGGTTACGGTAGGCAAAATTTACCACCAATGTATTTATAATCTGATTTGAAGAAACTGGCTTGTTCAGAACACCACAAATGTCTGTAAAACGTTTTTTGGTCATGAAGGATGCCGACGTGAGCTGTGCAGTGCATAAATAATTAAACTGCTTCCATAACTAAGTCAACTGACCGACGTCTGACGATCCTTAGAAATTGAACGATTTGGACCACTTACACAGTTATTCGATGCTCAAAAAACTGGGATTCAGCTAGTAGCTCATGTTATATGCAGTTCCACATATATTATTTCACGGTGTATTTCTCTGGCTTTGCGGAATTGTACTTTTGGTTGGTCGTATTCTCTACACTAGATATTTTCTGTCCTATTATCACAGTCAGTTAATTGTCGACTAGATTTTGTCAATCTTTAATTTTATTATGTGAAGTTATATTACAATATTTTCAAAATCATTGTTTGTTCTAATTTTACTCTGTAGATGAGAAGAAATCAGTATCTGAAGTTAAACGGGTAAGTAGTATTAACATGAAATTGCCACTATTATGTTAACAAACGTCAAAAATCCGATTGGCAAGCACAACTGTTAATTATTATTATCATTATTGTAATTACGAATTCAAGATAATTAGGATCAATCACTAATATCATTTCAACAACTGTTGAGATTTAGAGAAAACTTGAAAACTATTACATTTGAGTTTAGGAATTCTGTGGAGTATGCACATAGAACTCAACGGATGGTTGATCCATGTTGCCTCAGGTCTCATAATGTTCGCATTCATTTTAGAGTAACGGGTTGAGATTCCGTGGTCCACATTCACATTTTCATTCATTTTCTTACATGGCGTATCGATCACTCAGCGTGATCATCGATTGTAGTCTTACTGTCGATATTGTTGTTCTCAAGTAATCGTCGCTTCTTAGTGGGACTTTGGGAATTCTTTACTTCGTTAGTTTCTAGTGAGCCTACGATTATTAAATAGATCGGCTATGCAGCTTAGTTCAGTTTCACTGTCATCACTAAGAATGAAATTCTTTCTCTACTGTTCTTTTAAAGTCAAAAGTCTATCGAATTCTGTATAACTAGCGAATCAATTAAATTTTACCCGTTTTATTTGTCTTTATGCTCACTTCTTGTTTGATGGAAAGGGACCTATCCAATAGACTGGGTAACTGATATTTTAATTATCATTATTGCAGTATTTTGTAGCAAAACAAATTTATCATAGAAAATCCCAATTAAACATTTTTTCAATGTGTGACTAGATTTTATCTCAATTTCAGAATGTATTTTCTATCCCGCAATACATTTTCTGAAGTGAAGTTGAATCCTATGCTGGTATATATATATATGTATGCGATGTATAATGAAATTCGTATCTGGACTTAGTAAGTGAAGGATAGTTTCAATCGCAAATCAATGAGGCTAAGTACTTTCAACTTAACTAGTTGGTCAAACTTATGTCATTAATGTTATTCGCCTTTCATTTGTCTAATTGGCTTTAGTAAACCGAAAATATCATAATAAAATACCTTTACAGTTGTTAGATATTAGTGGCTCATATGTTTGGGTTCCTTACTGAAATTATCATTATTGGAATATGGAGTTTGTGAAACCCCCCCCCCCACATCCCTAAGATATTTGATATTACAGATCGACTTAAGCTAAAAAGTATGCTAATGTTGAACATTCGATGGTTAACTCAGTGCTCACCAACGCCTTTGATGTAAATTATCTTCAAAATGAACAGTTTAACGCAAAATAGTTAGATAATCTTGAGGCGAATCAGTTCTGGAACACTACATTGTAATTATATCATCAAGCCATAATAACACAAATATTTGAACGAATGCAGTGAATATAATAATATAATATCCAATACATAAAGTAAGCAAACTAAACTTTACTTTAATTGACATTATTTTTACTAATTGAACGGATGGATATTAAAATTCCTGATTTTTCTATGCTGTCCTGTATGTTTATTGGTTCCATTGATTTTCTCTTTTGTATTTATTTTCTATCTTTTAGTTGGTTTTACTGAATGGTATGAAACAATATGCGACACGTTTATTTGATGCTATTCGTCAAAGTGAACAACTGCATCAAATAAGTCCGGGGATAGGTAATATACTTCACTTAATCTTTGCATTGACGCTTAGATTTTCACAATAGTCTAGTTGATAGATTATATGTTGATGTACCTGACGCCAAGACACATCACTACTTTGGAAATATATCATAATATTCTTATTCTGATAAACACACACTGTGGATTCGGTTTCACTGCCTTACTTTTATGATGCATAATTTTTTGCTTTTAGTATCATTATAATTTGATTGTGGATTTTTATAGCTTTCTATGCATAAATCTTCTGCTGTTGACTTCCTGGATATCCGTTAGAAACAAATATCCATGTAGAAAGGAGGATAGGATTTTTCTAAACTGTCTTGTAAAACATATTTAAGGAAAGGTTATGTTTTGGTAATGTATATTCATAGTGTCAATAAGTTGGGATTGCTAGATTATCATTTTTCTATTTTCTTGATAATGATATGTAGTGATAGCCTTTTTTTGTTTTGATTAAGCTGAACCGTTAATTCAAGAAGCGAAATTCAAAATCATTTTGATGGAGGCCAAAGAACTATTTATGCAAAACTGGCTATCATACTGTCAGTTGTACGAACGGAACTTAAAACTGAATAATCCTATTTTATTTAACATACCTAAATGGCGTTCAAAACAATGGTATTATGCAAAGGCGGAATACCTTCAGGTAATCGGAAGTATTAATATATGATGCTATTTATTCGTTTTAGGGTTTTGATAGTGAGATTTTGTGTGTTAAGTAGTTCAAAATCCTACCTATTCTCGATTAAAAAGTCAATATTGAAAATGTACACAAATGTGTTGCATTATCAACTGCGAAATTGTTCACATGGAAAAAAGACACAAATAGTCTAAACTCATGTACGTACACTGTGTGGATCTATCGATCGCTAATTAGTTTGCTGGGTTATTAAACATAATCATCGTTTTCCTTTTTAGGTACTTTCACTCTTCAATGAAGTAATTGGCATTAGCTATGAGCCTATGTGTAGGACATAGCATATCTCAAAGCTACCCTTGTGACAGTGATTAAAACAGGTGATTTTCAAAGTTGGTAGATAAAATTCTTCCTACTAGTACATGATCGTATTGAAACACCACCGCTCCACCAACTAGTATAAAGCTTGTTATATAATAAAGTTTGTGATTTTAAACGAAATCGTTTCAAAATAGTAAGAATTAAAAGTTGATTGTCTGTTTTTGCAATGATTTGTAGTTGTTGAAAACCTTTGCTATTTGTATACTGGTTGTATAAGACGAACCATGCTGAATAAGATTGTTTGTTGTGGATGAAAATGACTTAAAAGTTCCTTTGAGCTGATAATTATGCTTATGTTATATTACCAAGAAGTTGAATTTATTACGACATTAGTTCTACAAATCATACCATCAAACACGTGCACATGTCATTTGTTTACTTTCGTGTACTTGTCTGCTTCGATAATCGTTGTTACTTTTTTTTACTGTTGAATGCATTCTACTAATTTGCTGATGTGATTTACATCTAAGACTGTTTTATGATGTTCAGTGGAATTTAGTTTCTCTAATTTTGCATAAGTGCCCGAATGATCTGTGATCATTTTCTGTGAATTTGTTTCATTGATACTTTTGTTATTTCCTTTAGGCACATAAGTTGGATATTCATGAATACGTTTTGTCGAACTGTATTTCAAATGGTTTAGAGTCTTATGCTTTCCTGATTGGCCGTGATTTAGCATTTTTAAAAGATGTAAGCAGTGATAATGTTGGTTTATTCCCATTAATACTTTCCAGGTTTTACACGATATATGTTACATAGATTAAAAATTTTCTTTCAAGTCATTATATCACTGTTCATATCAAATTAAACTGATGAAACTAATAGTTAATACCGTTTTATTTATAGATAATTTATTCAATTAGAGGAAAGTAAACCTTTTTTTCTTTAGTTCTAGTCTTTTTTGTCATTCTCCACCTCCTCTACCTATGCGATAGAGGACGGTTACATTTTTTAAATTACTTTATGAACGGTTTAAAGTCAGTACCACAAGCTATTCTCGTGCAGTTTTGACGAAATGGTCCTAGGCTTGGCGAACGTTGTGTGCCATTTCATATGTTGTAAAGATTTCTAATGTGTTTTCAATTTTACACTTTTTACACTACTTTGAACTCTTCCCGACCGCAGTTGTTACCTTGATGTGGTGGTCGGGCTTGCCTATCGTGATCACTCAACTGAGCTGTATTGCCTAGAACATATGTTCCTGTGAGTTCAACTATGCCAGACTGGTCGAGTAACGTAATTCACTTGACTTTTCCATGTCAAGAAGCAACTCGTTCCGCTCTTCGTGTATCTGTAAGGCCTGAAGTTTTAACTGACTGTGAACTCTTATATAATTCTGATTCAGAGTTTTTGCGCATATTCATCGTTTTTATACAGCCAAATTAAATTGAGCATCTCAAAATGTTCTGATTCATGATTTCTAAATTTTTTCCATCCAAATGTCATCGCTTCTATAGAGCAAAAGACCATCCTTCTCATTGCTTGTGTAATTTTATCTCTGGTAACCAATAACTCTTGGTGCGTAATTCTAACTGCTTCGTATGGTTATTTTCGTTATGTCAAATAAGGATAAGTTGCTGTAGCATATTCTAGTACCGATAAGATTGTCCCAACTTTGGTGGATATATAATCTGTGCGTATCACTTTTTTGTATCAGATTTTTTATATATTCAACTTGAATATTGGATTTTAAACACATCTGTCATATTTTATTTGTGCTATTGCGAAAATATGCTTGCCTGGAATTGGGGATAATTTTTTTTGTCGTTTACTGATTTTGTTCATTATCGTAAATGAAATCAGTTTTTTACTAGATCATATGATCGAAGTATGTCTGCGCGTGCGTGCGTGTGTATGTGTTTGAACCTTTTTTCAGTCGGACTAGCGTACGCTGTAACATAATTTTCTGTTTTTCCTGTTTGTCTAAACTTTACAACGAAGTCAATTTGAAATTTTCGATCAGCGTGTGTTTTACTGGCATTTTTTCTATTTGATTGGCGAGTTTTTTTACTTTCCGATTTATCGTTCCTAGCGTGAATGTTTGCTACGCGATCAAATATTCAAAAGCGCCAGATTTCCAGATGAAGAGTTCATTTTTCAAGTTTCACGACGCTGTCTTCGCAATGTTTATGTTTACCGTGAAGACTTTAGCTTATCTAATCGCTATCAACTTGTAGATACAATATTGGTTAGCTATGATTCTAATAAAGATTCCCCGAATCAAGCGCCTACAATTAAACAGCATATTAGAAGGAACAAATCAAAGAATCTTACAACTGAAGTTATTCCTTTGATGTATCGATTTCCACGTAGTTCGTTTGCTTTGAATACGTCCAAGACAAATAAAGGTGATAATTTTTCGTCTCACAGTGGCTTCGTCGCTGATATTACTGTAGCATCAAATACAGACTTTTCAAAGATGTTTAATTCGCCTGAGCATTGCTACAGAGATCCGTTGATTCCATCTAAGAGCAGCACTGACGAAGTAAGTTTCTGATTATTATATTGCTCTCCTAAACGTGTCTAAATTCTTGCATGATTTTACCAAGATGTTACACTATACTAACACAAAACGCAAACATATATATATATATTTATGTACAAAGCGCCAAATGATAAGTGGAACAATTTCAATAACTGTCTTACTGGTCTACAGTTAGTTACCCACTGCTATCAAACAATCTAAATAAGATGTAAACACAAGTCTCTAGACCCCTAATGAGGTTTTAAAAGTTAGGGACAGCAGCATACTGTGGTGAACTATTTTATGGAACTCCTGATGGATAGTTGTACAGTTTTTGCGGTTAGAATGTCTGAAAAGTTAGCTGGTCTGGGTATGAGAGGACAAGTTCTATAAGGGTCTGTCATTGAAAGGCATTTTAAATAAGCACATAAAACTCGTACAGGCTCACCGCTCGTATACTTCTAATGAATTCGAAGCTCATGACAAGCTTTCATCGGAACGAGTAGAATCAAGTGGTTTTCATCTGAGTGTCCGCTTTTTTCATTTTTACCTAACTTAGTCATAGACTATCTCTTTAGGGTAACTCTCATTTTCCGAATTTCCAAGAATCTACCTCCTGTATTTCAGTCGTAATTGTCATTTTTGATACTACTCTTCTTCTTATTATTATTTTAATATTCAACAGGTGAATTGTTCTCAATCGCATTTTTTCATGCAATCTACATTGGTGCTAAAAGCTTCGACACGTCATTTTATGTGGCGTTGGTTTGTTTTCTTTCTATGCACTTATTCATGGCTTATCCGTTCATTGCAATATTTTTTCGTGAGTTTAAAAGTTTGCCTGATGTTTAATCTCTATATCCCTCCATCCTGATTGATGGTATTTTATAATCATAATCAGTAACGAGGCGAAATATCATTGAATAAATGAGTCCTAAAAGTTTCTCTATGGGAAGGCGAGATTTTTCGAAATCGAACTATTGATCGTATTGTATTGATTAGTAGTAGAATGAGTGTGATCCATTATTCAGGAATGACAGCGTCTAGTGGAATAATTGGTGGGACAATTATTAGATCATTATGTCACGTGATACATTGGTAACGTTTACCAATTCCATTTCTGACTTCACTATTGTAAACGCGCTCACAAGCTAAGACCTTACTTATGATGCGGAGGTAAGGTAGGACCATGCTTGTTGTTAATTTGATCACTTGGTTTTATGACAGCTCTCACCGTGAATGAAATTTTACTTTCACACCACTGAAAACCAGTGAATACTGATTTGTTGCTTCATTCTTATGTTTACTTTCTTCAAACCCATGCACCGCGACTTTGTGCGGAACCAAACACATTGATTGGATAGTAATGTCTTAGCATACACGTTAGTAAGTATAAAGAAGACAGAAGACAAGTATTTACTACCTCCACGTTTGTCTCGTTGCTCCCTAGTTTATTCCTATTAGTCATTTGGATTTTTCACGTTAAATAAGCTATCTAAGTGTTATCTCATATGATATAAACAATTTATCAGTTCAGTTTTTAAGTATGTACATAGGTTTCATAACATAATGCAGTGACACTTGTTTATATATATATATATTGCTTTGCTATCTTTCTGCGTTAATTTTTTTGTATCTGATAGGTCGTTATCCCCCTGCAATCATGTGTTAGCTATGTAGCATTATTCAAACCGACAAAAATCTATTATATGTACAAGGTAGATAAAACGTCGGTAAGTTATTATGTTTAATTCACAGACTACTGGTTACATTGTGGTTTACATCACTGCATTATTCGTAAACGTCTCTCAGCAAAATGTTCATTTTTCTGGTTAAGCTACTATATTTGATTAAGTAGTAAAAAAATGTTTACTCGAAATACTTCACCATACTTGGTCATTTCAATACTCCGTGAAAATATTAACCATATATTTATAATATCTTGGTGATTGTAATATGGTCGGTCTCTGGATGCGGTTATTCACTGTTTCCTTTCAGTCACATATTACGATACTGAGTTTGACCGATTCGTAACTAATGATAAACAAATGTGCCCATGTTAAGTTCTAGTTAAAAAGTGAATTTCTTGCAAGTGATCAAGATAACCGTTCATAAATACGACTCAACCTTAAACCCGAATTTCTGTCTGATTCTTTCAAAATCATTCATGCACTCATTTTTTTTTGTAATAATCCGCCCATTTCGCATGTTTTTCATCGTGCAAAATTCACTTAAGTTTACAGAAGACTCAGTCAGTCAGTCAGATGCAACGTAGAACTTTGTACATAAGTACATCAGTTCATGTTGCCATACCACATCAGCACAGAGAAGTAATCGTCAATTCAAATCCAATAGTAGAAGAGGTAGTAAGGGAATTAGAAATAATCGGAGAGGTTAGGATTAGAAGATACTATTCAAGAAGTATGATTCAGTGAGATAAGTTTAGAGAGTCGAAACTAGAGGGGTTGATGAGTCCAGAAGATTAGGATTTGAGAGAACACAGAGAATAAATGCACCGGCGCCATTGCGAACGATTTTGAGCCATGTCATTTAAGGTCTCTAACCATCGATTATTATCATCTCGCGGACCCCAACCAAGGTAGTCGACAATTACCAACATGCTCAGTCCACTAGTCAATGACTTCATGGATTTCTGCCATGTTTTCGTTTGGCCGCCCTAACTTTCTTCCAACCTATTCCCTACACTACAAAACAAGGCTCGACGAGGCAGCCGGTGGTTGGGCCATACGCAACACATGTCCCAACCACCTCAAACTGATGAAGTTTCACCACTTCATCGATTGGTCTGCCATTCCTTACCTAGCACCCGATTCCTAATAACAGCGTTGCTCACTCGGGTGTCCCACGATATACGAGCAATGCTTCGAAGACACCTATGATCGAAAACCATTAACCTACGAATATCTTCTACTCTCACTGGCCATGTTTCACAGCTTCAAGTAACGTTTTAAACTGTTCAGTTTGTCACGAAATCAGTACCACAGTTACACTATTCAATCTAATTCGTGTATACAATACCAAATATTTGTTGTGCTGATCTTGTAGATTTGTTCTTATGTAATCCAAATGAATGATACCGAAAAATCAAATAGCTAAAGTGTTGTTCTTTCGCACTTTGAACTCCATCATCTAGTTTGTACATGTTCTCGTTAGTTTCTATTTTTGAAGTTGAGCTGTTTTGTCGCTAACTATCACGGTTATTCGAGAAAATAGAATTTTATAAATAATTTGTCGTTCCTACTTACTAGACACAGACTATATACCTGAATTTTAAACTGTACGTTAGTTGTCTGTGATCTAGTAATCATATTCAACCTCCCCCAAACCCAGTTGGTGTAGTAAGGTTTAAAAAAGCAAGCTATGCATGTACATTAGCCTTCGAACTAGCATTTGAAAACATCTACTGGTTGTTTTTATCAAAAAACTCATAGAATTTGGTTCTCATACTGTGGTGCTGTGGTGCGAACTACTTATAAGTAGTATATAGCGTGAGTGTCAACGTAAAGTCTGGTAGCATAATATGGGGGGAAGATCAAGAAAGGAAGAGTTAGAAAACAATGGAATTTGTATGAAACGCATGAATAGTGACAATGGATTGATGTTCGGCAACAGGAACAGTCTAGTTTCATAGGATGAACTGATCTTTTGCAAATGAACGATTTACGATATGGTTTTCCGATTTTACTGAGTAACTCTGTAATTTTCGTTAAATACAATTCGGTTTCCCCACCTGTGTTCTCATTCACTACAATACTACACTTGAAGAATTGTAGTTATTTACTGTTTATGTCAACATCTATTCTTCTGTAAACAGAATTAGAATAAATGTTACTTTTTCGCTTCCTGAAACCGATAATGATTAATCATTTGATATATACTGTGAAACCTGTTTTATGACCTAAGTTTTATTTTCTATAGAGTCAGTTGGAAAGTGAAATTATTGATGAATATTCTTCGTTTGGTGTTACAACTTCACGGATGTCGAATCCTAAACAGTCTTTATCCTTCACTGTTGATTCATTGTCAAATATTCAGTCTGATCAATCCACGTTTAGTCATGTTTCATCACATGAATTACTGAAACATCCTGCTGAAGAATGTGCATATAGTCCAGTCAGTAATTCACATACGTTATATGATTCGAGTCCAGCGGAAACTGTGATTATCAATAAAGTGTTTGGACCTGACAATTCTAATAGTCATCTAGACTTACAATTAATTGAAGAAATCGATTCTACTGATAGGTTGAACGTTTATCATGATAACAACGAACAACAACATGACACTGAAGAGACCAATCAGACAAAATTAAGTTCGTTGGAACTGAATGATCAGAATAAAATTTTTGAAATGGATAATTTCGGTGAGGAAGAATGTGTAGATAATGAGCATAGCACTTTAAAAACTGTCATCAATTTGTTCTGATCCTTATTTCTTTACTTTTATTCTCCTAGGAAGTAATTTTTTTACCTAGTGAATATTTATCTACTACTGCCTCAGTAAATACTTTCAAGAAAACTCATATCTGTATTCGGTAGCGACGACAAAACAGCTTGAAATGTTTTATATTTATTTATATGTGAATGGTTGTTTTTATCCTGACAAGTTATATTATTTTAATACTGTTCTCATCATTGTCCATATAATTTATTCAATTAGCAGTTGACCTCTATCGCTTGGCCCAAAATCTTGGTTTTTTTCTCTTAACAAAAATGTTTCTGATTTATGATTGATTATTCGCTATCAACATGTTTACTGTTTGGTTTTGTCTTTTCCAAACGCTTGTATTCTTCATTATTATTATTATTGTTGTTGTTGTTGCCTTTCGGTGTTTTTCGATTTGTTTTTATGACTTTTGTCTAATTCCAGCTCTCTGTCTCTCTCTCTTCGTATTCTTTTCCACCTTTACGTTGAGCTATAATGAATTTTACATATTTTTTTTTCTTCCCACCTCATTTTGTTTATGTTTTCCTATTTTCTATAAATGCAAATCTGTCGCTTATTCACTCGTAGAGAAATTGGTCCAAAACCTCTGCCTACTTTAATTTCCCTTGAAAAGCACTCTGTCATTGTATTTGCATAAAATGTTTTGTTTCTTTTATTAGAATTGTTCACTTCATAATATATTTTGTTGATGCTGAACTGTATTAGATTTCAGTTGTAACGTTTTCTTTGACTTAATGTATGTATATATAGATAGATAGATATTTGTTCTCTCTAACTTTGGAATTGCCCTATCCACAAGCTTTCTGTAGTTGATACACTCTTCCTAATTTTTTTAATGATCATACAGCTATCCATAATATAACTTATCACTTGACTATATGATTTTGATTATATTTTACTGCTGAAATGATTATTACTCATGATACATTCAATATACTATTGCTTGCCACTAAATGATTATTTTCATTGTAACATTTTCCATATAACTTACAATACGTAGCTGTTATATCTTCTTAAAAAAAATTATTCTCTATTAAAATGATTTCTCAAATCCCAGTTATCATGTTCATTTTACTCACTGATATTAGACGAAAAAGCATAGTAAGGTTGTCAGAATTATGCCATATTTTGATTATTTTTACTTTGGTTTTGTTATATAAACGACGTATAATATTAAAAATTTTTTCCTCCATTGTTCGTTTTTCTTCTTTCTAAACGAAAGCGTTAAAAAGTCGATGATCTCTCGTGTTGCAGTGTTCTAGTCATTCAGCTATGGTTTGCCTGTTCACTAACACGTAAAATGTCCCGAGGTTGCATACTGTGTTCATTGATATTTTCGTTACCTGAAAAGTTTCATTGAATAACTACGATGCCGTCGCCCAATGGAGCTGTGGTTTCATTAGATGAGCTGGGCTGTGTGGAAGGAGAAATCTTCATATCTGTCAACGTCTGCATCAGTTTCAGCTACCTCTCAAATAATCATTCAAGTTTGGCAGGATCCATGTTACCTAAACTACCATCGCCAATTGTTAAGTTCGTCACTAGGTAAGCTAAAAGCTATTACGTGTTCACCTTAGTCGATAAACGCGAACGAGACAATTAATCAGCGTCTAGGTAGGCTACCTTGATACGAAAACGACAAAACAGAAGTCTTGATGTTGCGTAAAAAGTATATTCTACAAACACGCAGCAAGCACAAGACAATCAGTCACACAACTCTCGTTTATTGATGCATCGTAGAAACGTCCTGGTGACAGTCACAAAAATAGCACACTGAAATGCACAGCAGCCAATCATGGCCAAGGATTTTACTGGTGGGAAATGAAATCTCAAGGTCAACTGATGAACCCATGTTCGCAACCTGGAAATCCAAGATAAGGCATTTATCAAGCGAGTTCTGTGGATCTAACATCCCCAACAATAACCAATTGTGATATAAAGTGTAATTTGTATTTGAAACTTCTCAATTAAAGACACATTCTCCGACTAAGTGATGTTGTATACAAATGTACGATACTGCAGCCAAAATTTAGGATATGCAAATTTTTGAATTTCATTTCGATTTGCATACACTGTATGTTTTCTCATTTGGCAAATAATTACAGTAAGCTTAGAACTCTGATGTTGTAACAGTTCTAATGCTGAATTGATATTTTGTCAAACAACGTTTCGCGAGTGTTCTAAACTTCGCATTCCATTGAATACCAACGGTTTATGGCTTAAGTTGCTGGCCAGTTCCTTACTTCCGTAATGAAATACTATTGCTTACTGCCTAAATATTTCATTCTATGACCGTCCTTCTTTTTATTCGGTAATTTGTCTCCTGAAACTATTATCGTATAAATGGGAAATCATTTAATTGCATTTCGAATAATACTTTTATTGTATCTAATTGGTATTTTATGGATTATTTGGAACAAGTTTTTCTGATATGTTCAGTTTTCTTTCGTCTGTTTATAAAAGAGATATTTTTGTTACTCGATTCAAGGCATTTCATCAATCTTACTTTTGAAATCTGCTTTCAAAGCATTATTTGTAGTGACAAACTATCTAAAATGTTTACTAATTCTCACTGTGTTATCATTCCCGACCGTAGCTGCTACCTTGACGTGGTGGTCGAGCTTGCCTATCGTCATGACCCAACCGAGCTATACCGACTGGAACATATGTTCCTGAAGGTTCTACCATGCCAGCCTGGTCGATTGGATGACGATGAGACTAGAAGCAGATACTCAAGGTCTGAGGGCGAAGTTGTACTGCTGACTGCAGAAGGGTGTGACAGCAGTAAGGTGTTTCCCTCAGACAACCAACTTCTACAGCGATGCTGCCTTCTTACAAGGAAGGAAGGGTTAGAAAAGGTCGACCGTAAAAATGTCACATCTCACCCTACCTGACGGATTTTCGTCTCCGGCGGTAAGGGTGCCGACTTAGGGCTTTTAAGAGCGGAGCTAATACTCAAAAAAACCTTTCATCAAAAGGCCGTGCGTGACCGGCCTGAATCAGTTGTCCCCTGGGCTCTGCGGTCACACATCCAGGTCTCTAAGACCAACACTAATCTATCTTCCATTTCAGATCCCTCAAGCAATAACCTTCAACGGTGTGGGCAGCCGGAAAGTGACAACCGCCCTCATACCCGTAACAATACACGAGACCAAATTGGTCAAAATCAAATCCTTCTTACACCCCCTGATATCTCTCTGCTGTGTTATCATTGGTTTTTTTTTAAATTACATTTATCAATGATTCAGCATTTCATGTTGAATACAGTCGTTGCTGCGTAATTTTTAGTGTGTCATTCTATTCATATCCCTGTAACCGTTTCATTTACACGTTAAGATCCTAATTTCAGAAATAACTGTAGCTTTCTCTTCCCGGAAACTCGTACAAGGAATGGAAACTTTTTGATGATCCTTCGTTTAGTTATTCCTACAAGATAATTTTTAGTCTGTAGGTAGTCAGTCAGTCAGTCATATGACATAATTTTCAAAGTGTGCATTATTCACTTTCATTGCGTGTTTCACTTCGCCGCATTGACAGCAACAGTGAAATCGACCGTCCGTTTTGTTAGTAGAACATTAAATAACAATGTAAGCGTTTCAGGACACATTTTTATACAAGAGAAGTTATTTTGTCTACACAATAAATCATCGTTCGCCTAATCTTGTTTTTTTTTTCATTTTCATTATATTCTATGAACTGTTATCGGTGTTCAATAAATTGTTAGGTCGCATAGTATGATTTCATATGAGTATATGGCTATAAACTTGGATTATCCTAATCATATGAATTTTTAATGATCAAAAATGTATGATTACCACTAATCTTGACATAAATTATAATTGGCTTAATCTATTGTGTAGATAAATATGCTTATACAACTCATTTCAAAAAAATATAAACATAATGTCTGCGTACCATCACAGTCGATGTAACTTGCGAAAATCATTGAAACTAAGTAAGATCTCTTTGATAATTGTCAACAATAGTTTGAAAAACGATTGAGCTATGAAAAAGTTTATTGTATTGACACTAACTAATTATGCGGCTTGATTTAGCAGTATAAACTGTATAGAAATTGGTACATTCATGGACATTGTCACATAAGCATAAGTAGATTGTCAGTTAAACTAATTTATTGTCTGACTCCAGTTCATACGATAAAAATATTATTCATTGACGAAGAAAGCCAGCAGTACATAGATCTTGTTCATCACCTTCTTATACCTTTGCCGTAAAGTCACCAATGTTTAGAGACGTTGAACGACATGGCCAAGAATCGTTTGCAATGGCGCAGGTGCATCCACTCTTTGTGTGCTTTTTAGTTCTAACCTTCTGAATTCATCATAATCTCTATCTTTCTCCTTCTAAATTTATCTCACTGAATTATACTTTTCGAATCATATCTTCGCTCCCTAATCTTCTCCATTGCTGCTAATAATTCTACTATCGCTATCACTCTTGGATTTGAACTGACAGTTACGTCTCTGTGCTGATGTGGTATGTCAACCTGAACTGATGTACTTATGTACGAAGTTCTGCGTTGCATCTGTCTGTTTATACCTTTGCCGTGTCCTCTTGAAAATTGATTTTATGTCACCGACTGAAAGAGCTCTTCTGCTTCTCCATGATTTTATCAGCTTCCGGATGTCTGTCAATCATCCTTATTGAGTATGTTTAAACGTTAAGAAACATCTAAATTGTTTTGATTTAACAGCGCTCTCATACATCAAATCTCCTTGTAGTATATAACTTCGAGCAATCAAATGTCATTGATCTCTTCAACCAAACCATGCTAATAAAGGAAGGAATGCAGCAAAATGGTCGAATTCATGCTTGATCTTATCATATCCGATCTATCTAGCTTAGTTTTTATTTATTTATTTTATTTTTTGTATGTTTAAACAATGGTGTTCAATGAAGTTACTATACATGTTTCATGTTTCATGCAGCTTACATCCGGTATAAATTTGGGTTATCAACTGGAAATGCTTATATTTATATATATATATATATATATATATATTTATAACCTATGCATTTGCATATTTATTCACTTGATCGGCGAATATGTCATACTAAACCTATAGGTAAGAAGAAAAAACAACTCTGAAGCTAGACTAAGCGATTGTTAATCTAGTGGTATTTTTTGATTCAGAAAAAATGTATAGATATACATGAAAATTTGAAATTACAATGGCAGTAATTGTTGTGTAAATACAGAATGAAATTACAAATCTTTGTTTTATTTAGTGCTAAAATATCTATTATCAGCATCCCAGTTAAATTCAATCAGCAAATAGTAGATAAAATTGATTGGTTCTGTGGAGATTTGAATAAAGCCTCATTTACACAGTATAGAGGCACGCGAATATTTGATATTTATCGTTGCTTAATCGAAGTACACTGAAGTCATGTAAGCTGTAGAATTTCGACTCGTGATTCTACTGTCAAAGCGTCTTGGGAGCTGTGCAGATTAGATGGGCTGATTCAAGAGTAGAATCATCGATCGATGTAACCCTTCAGAGACATTAAAAGGGATAATCTCGAATTAGGTTTTTCAAGTCTGTACAAATTCAATTCATGCTAACATTTCTAACCAGATATTTTTGTCTCTGGTTCTTTTTCTCAGTACATAATATTACTAAGTAATAAATTCAACTTACAGAAAACTGACTTATCGTCTAAGTTGACAATGTGCCAGTATCTTTTTATGTAAAATAATGAAATAATGTTATTTGTGAGATAACTGACCGGACTAAAACAGTTAATAATCTTAAAAAAAGGAGACAAAAATTCTTTTTTTTATGCTTTTCATGATTCCCGCTTTTCGACAAATAGCAACAGCCTAGTTTTAATGTTTCGAAATGTTTGATTTTTGGAAAACAAACACCAGCAAAAGACATAGGAATGTCAACATTTGCTTGATTACGAAAATGTCTAGTAAAGTGCGAGTTTTTTTCATTTTTAATTTTGTGTTGACAATAACACTTCCTATCATTAAATAAATTAACCAAAAACTCATTAGGAATATTCTACTGGTAACTTGATCCTGTTTCTTGTTAGACAAATAACTTAATCATTTTGAATGTAAGACCGTTCTAATTTTCAGATTTTCTCTTTTCTTAATAAGCCGTGAATAAGCAGACAGTAAATAAATCAGATACATCGTCAGCATTGTCACTGGTTGC